AATACAACACTTTATGATTTCAAAGTTTTTTTTGCAATATTTTCACCGATATTCGCCGTGAAATAAAGCGACACCAGGAACCTGGCAACCCCCCTCCTGCAATAATTCCTGGATCCGCCCCTGTGATGAGAATTTTATTGGCCTTTCAATCAACATGCAACATCAATCTATATTGCAATAGTTGTGATCACTCACTGGGTGGCAATATCAATCATTCATTGCAAATACTACACTGAAGTACAGAGCGTACACTTCGGCTCCAGTGATAACCAAGTCACCCTACATACCTTAATGGTTTATACCCTAACGTGAGCTAGAACCCTAGGCAGAGACCATTGTCGTTTATTCGGATCAGTGGACTGGGAACAAGACAACTTAACACCGATGCTTTCTCTGAAATAAACATTTGTGGAAACTTATGGAGCGATTATTACAAGAAATATTCGACAGGAAATCGTCTGAACAATCTTCGACAGTGTGTCAACTTCACGATCTTGAGATCAGTTTCTCTGGTTCGCAGATAAATATGTTATGTTCCCACACCCCCGATTTGTATCTCCTATTGATCTTCAATGCCAATAATATAAGAGTTCGGTCATAGCCTCTAAAATGCGATTTTTATTTTCAATGCCAACTCCGCTCCCCGTGTACAATTGTTTTGTTTTCAACGGAGCATTATCAAAAGTTGTAAAATTTTTTCTCTCACCCGTACCCTCAGGATGGAAGTAAATAGAATCAGTCTTGCCCATAAATTAATTCCACCAGTTAACCGTAATGGTTCCTATTATCATGTGTCTTTCAAGATTTTTACTTGCTTCACCCACCCACGTGTATAATGTGAAGGTGTCCCTCAAATATATATTTCAGGTAATGTATTAATAATATATTCCAACAACTAAATGTACAGTAATATACATTATTTTAGTTACATTGATATGTATTTCGATCTCGCGGTCTTGACATATATGACGAGTCACCCAGGGGGTAAATTCAAAAATATATTAATTAATACTGGTTTGGACATGATATATACATAACACAATAAGACAACGGGCGAATTAAAAAAAGGTTACATTTTATATTTAACTTCTCACTCCTAAAAGTTCACCGAATTGGTAGAATCACCTTACTAGCGAACACGAACATGTTCGCTCGTTAGCCACTGTGCGATAAGGGCAGCACGAAGTAATTCTTGGACTATTATAAATGGATGGCGATAACTATATGGAAGCTAAATTCAGGAGAGGTGTTATATTCTGTATGGTGTTAGCAAGTTTTACTGGGCAAATAACGGAAGTGATTTAAATCTAGACAAAGATAGAGTATGGTGAAAGGTGTCAAGTGATCTTGCCGAAATGAATGAATAGGGGAGGTAATTAGTCTCACAAGAAGACGTCGACGCCCATAAAAATATTTTCAAGAATTGTCATTTTAAACAATTCTATTTGCATTGCTTATTCACAATCCGACACCTCTAAGGTTTATTGTATTGTATAATTTCTCCCTTTAAGGGTAATATTCGTGGATTTCCTTTATTTTAATTCGTCGTGACGAGAAGGGATGCAACTCTTTCTTGACTTAAGTTATTTTAATGCCCATGCGTGACCGGGAGTTTGGTTATTTATGTGATAAATTATCCAGTCACCTTTCCTGCGAAATACCGATGTAACCATGATTTTTACAATATCGCGTAGCAGCCTGTGAGATATTACGGGAAATTTGGAACCATTAGGCCTACCGAGTTTTTCAGACGATGGGATAGTCTTCTGTTTATAGAAGTATAGAAGGGTCTCGCTAGCTGGGCGGTTAGGTCCCGGTGTTAGCCGAGAAAGGTGCAGGCTGGAGGCCATGACAAGGACAGCTGTCTAGTCGTTCGGATGGCACGAAAACCGAATCCCGTTAACGCATTAGTGTGAACGTAAAAGATCCCCTAGCAGTTGGAATTCGATATAAGAGTAGGCCATAGAACCGCTGTCCGGGCAAAATTTCAATCATAGCACACCGTATACCCGTCGTCATTAGCCCAGTCAGAGCAGAACAGTAGGACAGTAAACCCCATTTCTTTTAGAAGGGTAACTTACCTGTTGTATTATAGCCGACAACACTACCCCTTTAGCATTACTTGGAGTTATTTCCCTTATAACCATTCTTTAGATTTCTTGAAGGGTCCTAGATCCTTGTGCACCTTTGTCGAAAACCTTTTTAACACGATAGAGGCTGCATTTTTAAACTGATCCGTTTTTCAAACAAAATATAAGGCTCATTGAAGGACGAACCCTATTGACCGTTCTGCGACCTCCCGTTCCCGAATTATAAGTTTGTTTTAAATAGATTTTCTTCAAATTTGTTGTGAAGCATTAGGGTCATGGGGGTGTTTGTCGGGGGGGGGGGGGGGGCACTTTCAGTATTCAGCGCTCCGCAACGTTCGGTTCTACAGTAACCTTCATTATTTCTGAAATCTTTTTTAGTGCGATAGAAACATTGTTGTCAAAAGAGGGCGATCTCTCTATCGATTGTCTACGGTCCGCGACCGCCTCTTAACACATCCTTGTTAGGCTATCGTTTTGTGGGATGATTAACTTTATTGATTTTCAAATTTAATGTGACGCACAGGAATCGAAGAGGATGAATCGCGTTGATGTTTAGCATTCTATGACTTTTTACTCCAGGAGTGTGTGCGTGTTTGTGTGTGTGTGTGGGGGGGGGGGCTGAATGGTTAGCGCGTGCGCGATGTATCATAAGGTCTGTCATTGAGTCAACTGGTGTGGTTTCGATTCCCCAGTTGTACGTGGCAAGGAGTAGGGTGGCCTATCCAACCTCGTGGGTTTTCTCCGGGTGCACCGGTTTCCTCCCACTGCTAAAGACCCCTACGCGCAAGCGAATTATTAAAAGTAAATTGAACCACATGTTAGTCCCGAAATGACCTAGTTTATGTCGAGTGGACTTTACCCCTCCCCCCCTCTCTCTCTCTCTCTCTCTCTCTTAGGAAAGCTTGTGAACACGACAGAAATAAGATATCATGAAGACATAATGGATCCGATCAGTAATCAAGTTTCCGTATAGTTTATTCGAGACAAAGCTGCTGTGTGGGTGCATTTCAACGCATTGTGTGGCTATCTTTGGATAAAATGTTTGAAACCTACACAATTACATAAATAACAGCTGTGTCATAAGATTAGAAACATTTTGTCTTTTTACTAAAGAAACTGTGTGGTTTGAATAAGCTTCTCATATTCTTATTAGGCCTATCATCTGATTCACCTCTACATATACTTTTGCCACGGCGAAAAAATCAGATGCTTTGTGTACAATCAATATGTCGCCCTTGTTTTTCGCCGTGAGTATAAATCAAATAGGGTTAAATGTCATACTTTTGTGTACCAACCGGGCTAGTGAAGCCAGACACACGCCATACAGTTGGCTATGAAGGAAATTTTGCTTGGCTATGATTTACTGTTATTTTGATTTCCTACTATCAAGACCGTATTGGCGTTCTCCGAGCATAATTTCCCTCATAGCACACTGTATGGCGCATGCCCATCTTCATTAGGACGTTAACCCATTTAATTTCCGGTTATACTGATTTGTGCATCTCAGCGCAGAGGAGGAGTTGGGGGTATTCGAACGGTCATGCATTGGGCTCTAGATTGGACGAGAAATCGGTGTTCTTCCTCATATACATTGTTGAAATCGAGGGAGAAGTAGACGGAAGCGCCGATGTCCAAGGAAAATGGAAAATTATCCCATCTCACGCTGCACATAAATCCATAGGTCAAAACTCTGACGGTACAGAAATGATTTTCCGGCGTGGTTCCCCCTTGTCAGTGATGCAGGAAGGAGGGCCTGACAAGGACAGCTGTCTAGTCCTTCGGATGTGACGAAAAACCGAGGTCCCGTGTATACATTAGAATGCACGTAAAAGATCCCTTGGCAGTTGGAATTCGATATAAGAGTAGGCGATAGTGCCGCTGCCCGGGCAAAATTTCCCTCATAGCACACTGTATGGCGTATGCCCGTCTTCATTAGCCCAGCATAGGAGCAGAACAGTAGGACGTTAAACCCCATTTCATTTCATTTCATTTCTGTTATTATAGAGAAAGCGTCTGTCAAACGTTTATAAATCTTGACGTCCCTCCCGACTAAAGGTTTTTAAAACAGAGAGTCATTCAATGCACATTACGAACAATTGTGAAGACATTATCAACATCAATATAATTTCTTGTAATATTAAACGCACAATATTCCAGACTAAAATTGGAAATATAGACGATCGGTTCATGAACATTAGAATGTAGTCTTATCAAAATGCATATATTAAAATCGACCAACCCATCGTCGACAGCCAATGTAATATTTTTTTTTATAAAAAAAATACTCATTACTTGGCTTATTTATATTTATAAAATTAAACATATATTATGCAAGAGCTAAATCTGCCTATTGCCGGTCTTTCTTTAGGCTTGGAATGTTATATAAACTATTAATTAGACATTAATTAACTTATCCAGACCATAATCAGCTCTCGATGTCAACGCTAGCCTGTGATATTTATTGGATTTTGATCCGATTTGCTGCTCAACTTTCATTCATGATTTAATAATGAAATTGATAATCGAGACTATGTTTTATATCGCATCGACTTTAGTATTGATTTTCGAGGCTAGGTCGAAATTTCAATCGCTTAATATCTCGGTTCATAGTGGATCAATTTGACTGAAATTGTCAACAAATTGCCTTTACATTATCTAGCTTTTAACTATTATAGTGAGAACTGCCAGCTCTTTATCTAATCTCCCATAATGTATCTTTAAATGATATTACTTTGAGAAATCTCACCGAGAAGTTCACTTTGCTAAATCTACTGATCCTTAACCCTTATTGAATACATTTCAATATTTGATTAGATCTTTGGATCCATAACGTGTGCATTTTGTATATTCCGTTTTAACAACTATACATTATCTGATGAACAGTTTCCGAATTAAACGCCTGTAACCAAATTAGATTTTTCCCACAGCGAAAGCCATGCGCTGTCTCCATCGATTCATTTGCAAATCTCTATCTTCATCGTTTTCTTTTGATCGGCGAACGAAAGTCAACATATCGTGATGGCTGACCCTCCTAGGAGACGAGCCTTGTGAATGGAAACCAGACTGAATTGTTGGTGGTCTCATGGACAATTCACTCCTCGGACTATCTTTAAGTCGCAATAGCGGTGTCCCATAGATTCGTTGACTTTCCGATTTGCTCAAAACGTTCCTGTTTCTGTTTTCTCTGAAACTTAGTATTTTTTCATTCTGGTTTTGATCTGAATGTTTATTAATGGTTTCATTGCCAGTAAGATAATCAACGGAATCTACTGTTTTATTTTGTGGAACGTCTGCCACTATTGACACCCGTCTCTTGTTCATCTTATGTGCATCTTCTTTGGAGTCCTGGTCCCTCTTCTCCAAGGAATTGGTCATCATGATGACAGTGTTTCTTAACTTTTCTATTGCTTGTTTCTGCAAGTCCATTTCCATTCTTGCTAAATTTTGTCTAGTCAATCTTGGAGAAGAAGCTTTGGAACTTGAACTTTTTACCTGAGGAAAGTAATTATTTCGTTTCGGGCTTTTAATATCCATGTCGGACGGTTTAGCTTCGATGTGATCATTTGTTAACTGAATCCGAAAGAGTCTCGATCGACGCTCTCTAGCACTAAGCATCACATCTCCAACAGATAGTCTGGGTGTGGAATCGTCCCCTAGCAATGATTTCTTAATTGCAACAATATTGTTCACTTTCAAGTCATGCGATAACGTTGGAGATTTATAATTCGTTTTTTCGCGTACAACAGCTAATCTCTCGGACACACTAGACCTGTCTACATCTTTGGGCATTAGGTGACTTGTACGGGACTCTGAAAGAGGGTGCATCACATATCCATTGTCTTTATTCAAAACTCTAATCTTTGCTTTACCACTAACAAGTCGCGAGAAAGCCCTTGGATTCATTTTGATCATCCTACTGCTTGCATAATCCGATTTGCTTTCCACAATTGCATCGTGCTGCTCTAATGGAAGTCGGGGAATTGTTTTATCATTCACAGAATGGATGCGCTCATTCGTCGACTTCGATTCACAATTTGCATCAGTAGAGTCCTTTCTTCGACTTTCTGCTACAGACTTAGGTCTTGGTTTACTAATTTTAATACTGCCACACGGATGTTTATTTTTGGGTCCGACATGATCATCACCAGCAGCATTATTTATGCTACTTCGAAAGCACGCCGAACTTCTGCTACTCGACATGCTGCTGTAAGAATCCCGATTTCTATTTGCAAATGCTGGATCATCGTGAATTTTACCAAGTTCCTGCTTTACCTGTTCTTCTTGGAATATATAATCCCGCATATTGAGTAGAAATTCACTATAAATTTTCCGACATTCTGTCTTATATAGCCGGTTACTAGCGGCAGATGAGAGTATTCCACCATTTGGAACCGTGACGTCAAAACCATAGTCTTTTGCCAGATCATGATCTGTAGCATTCTCCATTATTGCAGGATGTTTTCTTCGTAGAATTTTATACTTTTTACATCGAAGGGCACCCCGTTTTCGAATCTGAATCCGTATAAGGAACTTAGCATGCTGTAACTGATCTTTGGATATTTTTTGTTTATTTTAGAATCCGTATTTTCCAGCTCTCTTTGTTGACGTCTTTCTTGGTTTACGTGTATCTTACAAGCTTACCGAATACCTGCGTATGTACTTGTCCAATGTAGCAGTGTGTAACTAGAAGTGTTAAATGACATAGGATTATATATCTGTAAACGAGTCTTGCCAATGTTTTTCTTGATTCCCTTAAATCTCTAATCTTTTTGTTAATCTAGATTATCCCTAATTATTTATAACTGTTATCGTACGTTATGATCATTTTGGATAATTATTTTGCGATTTTCTCGTAATAGGGCAGTCATATATTCGGTTCTGGGTGCTTCAATCTAACCTATTATGTCATGGTTAGGAGATTTACTCTGGGCTCCCTATTGATTTCTATCGATGGATCATATGTTCATTTAATACGATTTCCTGTTTTAATTGTAAATAAATAAACACCTGTATTTAAACATCCGCCAATAAACAAAAATCCATTATACCAATTAAAACATAAGTATGGACTGAAAAGTGTTATTGAGTTAGTAATTATTATTATTATTATTATATCTAAACATTGCACTCCAAGAAATGTATATATGTTTGTAACTCACTACCTATACGTATGTCCACCATTGTTTACTGTAAACATAAGATTAAATTATTTTATATGTTTGGAGAGAACTTATATAGGCCTTTGCCTGTTGTTCAATCGATTTCAGTTTATTGAATAAAATATTGTTTAAACTAAACTAAAACTGAAGCAATATACGTATGTTTAATCTCTTGACTTGGTTCAGTGATTAAAGCGCTGACTCAATAACCAGGGGACCGGGCATCGATCCCGGTGTTAGCCGAGAAAGTTGTCCGTGGCTTCCCTTTGTCAGTGGCGTTGGACCGGGGCCTGGTAAGGACCAGCGCCTAGTTGTTCGGATGGGACGAAAAACCCAAGTCCCATGTATACGTTGGCGTTCACGAAAAATTCATTTGGAATTCAATTTCTGTTCGGGATGGAGGGGAGGGGTTAACGCGTGCGCGTTGGTCGTAAGGTCTGGCATTGAGTTAAGTGGCGTGGTTTCGATTCCCCGCTTGTCCAACCTCGTGGGTTTTCCCCGGGTTCTCCGGTTTCCTCCCACTGCTAAAGACCCCTCCGAGCTAGCGAATTGCTGAAATAAAATTGAACCATATGTTAGCCAAGAAATAACCTAGATTGTTTCGAATGGACGTTAACCCCCGCCCCCTCTCTCTCTCTCTCTCTCTCTCTCTGTGTGTCGGGCTAAATTTCCTTCATAGCACACTGTATGGCATATTCCCGTCTTCATTGGGTATAATCCCATAAAAAAAAATATATGGAAAACAATCACGAATTAGAATTCAATATTGATCAATTTCAATCAATTTTGTCATCTTGTCGTGGATCTATAGGATCCTAATATCCAATATGTAAGACACAATTAAAATTATGGTTTCGGGAGCCATTTTGTAATGAACAAATAAAAACATATCCTACGACACAATATGGAAGTAATTAGAAAAGGCTGATACACAAACTGACAAATACTAATTTAAAAAACGTATAGAATGTACGAAGCAGTTCAATTTGAATTTTTCACGTATTTCACCGAACATAATTGATTAGAAATCACTATACTGTTTTCTAAAATTGAATATAAATCACTTTACATAATGTACATTTATATTTTATTAATATGTGCTTTTAGAAGAGAGAGAGACCCTGAGAAAACCCACGAGGTTGGACATATGAACCTACTCCTTGTCACATACAACCGGGGATTCGAAACCACGCCAGTCGACTCAATGACAGACTTTATGATACAGCGCGTGCACGCTGACCATTCAGCCACCCAACCCAAAATAGAGCCATGCGCCCTTTAAGGAAAAATAAATAGGATTAAAGTAAATAACAGGATTAAAGTAAATAGTGTAATCAAAAACTGACAAACTGACATAAAGGATTAAACAATAATATAATAAATGAACAAAACAATAGATAGGACGTCGCCACCCAATGTCAGTTAGTGCACACTCTTGTTTTCTTGTCATCCAGATGTTCCTAGTGACACATGAAAGTTCAGCCAAAACAAGTTCATGTAATTCGGTAAATTCAGATGAATGATATAATATTCTAGACTGATTTAGTATTAATATCCAAAGTCTTCGACATTGAACACACGAGTTATTTGTCAACATTGATGTTGTGATATCCAGTATTTAAGACAAAATAAACATTTTACCATCGGTACACGAATCGTGTACCATAATGCGGTTCAGTGCCATTTGTAACAAGGGACTATAAGAACGAGGCTAGACATATTCCACAAGTCCTGTCAAACGGCGACGCCATATTCCTATCAGGAGAGCATGCGTAGTAAATACTATCGGTGTAGACTGGAATAACCAGACGCTAGAGATTGCCATTCGATTGAGACTTCTGGCGTATATCGCCGAACATAACTGATTAAAAATTACAGTAAAAACAGAAACGATTGAATGTAAATCAGTTTATATACATACATATTACATTAAATTTGTGTCAATATCTAGGTGCCAAAGAATAGCGATTTAGCTCCTTGAAATCAACAGTATACATTTTGTTCATTTGTTCTGGTTGGTGATCGTGTCTATTTTATTATTTTCGTAATGCACAAACTGGTTGACCTATTTGTATCAATCCCGGTTTCTCTAGCGCCACGTAAACTCCAAACAACGGTGATGTTCCATAGGGTGCAATACAGCGAAAACTAAAAAAACATATATTAAATAATACATAATAGATTAATCATATGGACACTACAGTTAAAGCTCCTGGTAATTTTATTTAAAAAAACAAAAAAACATGTAATTTTTGTATTCCATAATTTAAACAAAAGTAACTAAAGATAGCTAAATTGTACACATGTGTCATTCAGCTTGAGCTATATGTTAGCTCGGTAAATGATTTAGATAGAACTCAAATTTACGTTTCCCTGTAACTTTTTGGCGATGGGAATTTAGGATTGATACTAGAATCTATTAGCGTTTGCATAACACATACTACACATTAGAAATAAGGGAGAGGTGGTTTGGTGTAATAACATTTAGTGGACATGGTTTTAAATCGCCCAGTAGAAAGATTCATTAATGTAGTATTTACCTTCGTTAAGTGGCATTTAGTAATTGAACAGTAACACACTAACACTATTTATGGAATAACAATTACTGGTTTATTAACATGCAACGTTTCGACGATGATACTCTTGTTTTTATCAAGCAAATGGTTATTCCATAAATAGTGTTAGTGTGTTAGTATTTACCTTCTAAGATGTTTAAGAGGTTGGAAACCTTTCTCTTTGATGCCAGTTGCTGGATCAATTGTAGTTATAATACACCTGGTAATATAAATTATATGTTAACACTTTTACAACAATAACACCAAATGTATTTTGTGGCTAAGTCACTAGCCACACTTAACTTAACATTTATAGTTTTTCTGGGGTTATATTGAGAGAGAGAGAGAGAGCGAGAGAGAGAGAGAGAGAGAGCGAGAGAGAGAGAGAGGGAAATGGGGTTTAACGTCCACCCCACACAAACTAGATCATTTCGGGACTTTATTTCAACAAGTCGCTTGCGCGTAGGGGTCTTTAGCAGTGGGAGGAAACTGGGATACCCGGAGAAAACCCACGATGTTGGACAGGCGTCCCAACTCCTTGTCACGTACAACCGGGTAATTGAAACCACACCAGGTGACTCATTGACAGACCTTATGATACAGCGCGCATACGCTAGCCATTCGGCCATCCAACACCCCTGTTATATTTAGTGTCAAGTTCGTTTTGAGAAAAGGTTCTCGTCACATACAACGTAAATAAAAATTTGGCTAGAGGACGAAGTTGATTCTCCAGCAGCTGGTTATCATTGGGCTCTAGTTTTCGGCTAAATCTATTTGTTAAGGCCAGCTCAATTTTTGTCAAGGTCGTTGAGACGTAAACAAGGTTAGGGCACGTGATTGCTGGCGAGATTGTAGGTTAGGGTTAGGGTAAGCATTGGGGCTAGGTCCGGGGTTAGGATTAGGGTTGGGATTAGCGCTATACCTGTTTACATCTCGTGACCTATGACGAAAAATTGACCTGGCCTTATCATTTAGCACTAACTCTAGGTTGTTGCTGATTGATATGTCTATATCATGAGATTCAATTTTTATAAAACCGTTTTTTAATTTAATGCCACACAAAAAAAGAAAACAACACGGAGAACGGGCTGGTTTCACGTGGCTTGTACAAAAATGACACCCGAATTATTATTACTTTATGTATCTATTTATAAAGATGGCCTTAAATTCTGTAGATATAATTTCAGAACTGATCGACTTTCTCACAAAATTGATTTGATGGTATATGGTTTTAAACCTTATTTTAAAAGATACATTATGTAAGATTTACATAAAGAGCTAGCCATTCTTGCTATAATAGTTCGAAAATAGAACTGTTCTAATCTATTTAATATCGGAGAAATCAGATAAAACCGAGAGTTGATTATGGCCTGGATAAGTTAATTAATGTCTAATTAATAATTTAGAAAACATTTCAGGCCTAACGAAAGACCTTTGAGCTCTTGCATAATGTATGTTTAATATTTATATCCTTATATTTGATTTTAATAACATAAGTTAAATATTATGTGTTTATTTAATGGTTAATTACCGGCGACAAGGTTCTACAATTCGGAACTGAATGTCATTTCCAATCTTAACATATTGCCATTCATCCTGAAAATAAGATTTAAAAACCAACAAAGTGCATTTATACATCAATTTATTATTATCACCAAATTGACCTCTTTACTTTAATGATATAAAACATTCCTCTTACCAAAAATAAGTCCATAACAAAAAACATTTATAGTAAAAAATACAACCCTTATTAAACCTTATTAAAAAACAAAGTAAATATATAACTTTACCTCGTCAAAAGGAATGGTTCCGTCAATAACAATGTTAGGTCTAAATCGGAGGATTGGTACTGGTTTATCTAATCCGTTGTTTACTTCGTGTAGCGAGGATGACGATACTAGTAAGTAAGGCGTAGAATAGGTAAACACGGCCTAAAAGAAAATCATTTATTTTTTATTTATCAACAACCCTACCGACTCCTTCAAAGTACACAATACAGCAATTTATATGAACACATCAAACTTATCGACTAATATTCACAAATCAAAAGAGTTCACATCAAAAATACTGTTAAATTAATTACAGCCCTTGGCATGTAAAAGTCGTTTAATATTAATTAGTTTGTTTACATTGGAAACGTTTAGTTTAATACATGTACTAGTGTGCATTTAAGAAAAATACGATTAGATTCCGTTTCGCAATGTCTTCTAATAATGCACACGGTTCTTGCATAATTACGACCTTAGAATGATGTATCACGTGATAATTGTTAGTGATTGACTCATCCCAAAATTAGGCTGCCTCTCTACAGTTAGCCCCGCCTGAGAATAGGTATGAAGTAGATTCATCGCTGTGTGCAGTATTTGATTGATTTTTCGCTTCCGGCATTTTAATGGGATCTGAAGCACTGGGGCAATAGTAGGGTCCGAGAGAGTGAGTGGGGAGAACCGGGACGAGATAAATGTTTTGACATTTCGGCACACCTTAGAGTGAATATGGCGTATACATGTGTTTGACAAGGGCGGAGAGAATGGGACTCACTCAACGTAAACTGTCCTGTCCATAAAAATCACAAACACGACAGACACCAGAGTTAACGTAAACTAATAAGTGATAATTGCTGCATCTATCTTTTCTGACAAAGCCACGTGGCATTTTTTTCAATTTAAGTCCTACTACTTCAATCAAAATATTTGTCTACGTGACTTTGCTGCACTAAAAGAATCAATGATGTCCTAAAAGTCCAATTCCTGGACACAGTCACCTTTAATGCTTAGCAATTCCAAATTGTTCAATCTCCATCGTCACGATGGAACGCAAAATTGATTTAATTGGTCGCACATTACCGAAGGAACGTTTATCTGAGTTGAGGCTGGGGTGGGTACGTTAAAGAGAACCGCAGGTGCGCCACGTGACCCATGGTTATTCCGCCACTGTTCGCAGCTTGCGATACCGAGGACGGTCCAGGGTTGGTGATAACAGAACGGTGTAGGATGATGTGGAATTGCTGTCCACTGAGTCGCCTATTCTTGTCCTGTTCCGTCCCACCTCGTATTTGTATTATCTTTTCTGTGGTCGAACGCATTCCTTTCAGACCTAACACCTGTATAAAGCCAGGTACATTGATGAGAGAAGCAAATGACTTATGTCCGTACTTCCTGGACCTGGTCAGGGTGAATGCACAATAGACTTATGGAATATGTGTGTTCTAAAGAAATATAAGAGTAGTACATAATATTTATGGATATTTGGCCTTTTGGACCGTTTTAAATTATTAGGGACTTGTATCATTTACACACATCAAGCGCCCTGGAATAAGGATTATTTAAATCTGAATTTCACCAAATATGTACATAACACATGTGTGCTCCAAGCCATCGATATACTAAAAGACAATGATTAAAATTGCAATACTCACAGCATCGCCTTCTTCTCCATTATATGGCCAGGATCGTGATATCTGGGACATATCTCGTTTTGGTAAATCTGGCGGTGAGAAACCTATTCGTATATCTGATCTATCTAGAAATTCTGATATCCATTTGGATGCTGATTCACCACAGTCAACAACATCTCTCAATTCACCATAGATACTACAAACATAACAGAAATTATGCCTTTCCGAGAAGAAAAAAAAACGATGTACAGCTATTTTGTGCTATTAAATTATATTTATCAAAACACATATTTCTTAACAAATCGAATAGGAATGGACACACCCCTATGGATGCCGATCAGAAACAGTTTAAGAAGTAGAGTAGTGTTTCTATGTTGTATTATGATAGAGTAGAGAATTGCTATTATATGTTGGGTTGTTGATATAAATCATCTGTGATTATTCTGAGAGTAAAGGCGAATATTATAGCTTTGGGTAGTTCAGAAAGGTGAATACTGTTTAAGCTGAGAGAACCGCAAATCAGAGTAAAATACTCATTGAAAATAGTAGATTAACGGCGTCCTTGAAATTTCTACAGTATTTATCACTTATTGGTTTCTTTACCTCCTCTAAAGTATGCCAAAATTCAAAGATTTTCTCGCATCCGGGGGAGACATCCCCTCGGACAGTCCTATGCCCCAGTACTTCAGATTCCTTTACAAAATGCCCCATTTCTAAGATTGCAACAATCATTTTCAGACTAGCATATTGTAATTTTCTTATCTATAGTTCTATTTGTTATATGACAACGGCGTTTCCACCTATTCTACATCGAATTCTTACTTCAAATGTTTTTCTACGGACATGTCAGTATACACATGGATGGACGCCTAGGTTGGTACATCCGAGGAAACATCCCTTGACATCCCTGACAATTCGGAGCCGGGTCGGACCACACGTCATCAGCCGATAATTAACTAGTACTATCCATAAAATTGTAGTTCTGGGGAAAATGTGTTTGAAGTTTCGGAATTCTGTATTTCTGTCGACCCATATAATTAGTTACGTGCAAATAACCAGACCACAATCTCTAACTGTAACAGAAATATGGAATCCAGAAACATCAAACTAGAAACATAATGAAATGAAATGGGGTTTAACGTCCTACTGTTCTGCTCCTACCGGGCTAATGAAGACTGGCATATGACATACAGTGTGCTATGATGGAAATTTTGCCCGGGCAGTGGCACTATGGAAACTAGAAACAAATGTTAGATAGAACAAGTTAATTCTCGACAGACGACAACTCATTTTCTAAGAGAATGGTATCATTAAAGATGGAGCTTTTAAAATATTACTTGGCTTGTATTATGTTTTCTTTTGTAGGTGGTAATAGTTTTGGAAGCCTCAAGTTTTCTCTGTTAGGAACGCTAATAATAATATCGTCTTTGTCGATGGTGATGTTCATTAAACACAGCCTTGGTTCCGCCTTTAACGTCAGAATTTCACCATTATGTAAACATATCCAGTGCCTTAAAAACAAAAAATTAATTTTGATAATATTATGTAGTATATATTTCTGCTATAAAATAAGACAATAATATCTAAATATATCTACATCTTTCCTACACCTTCAAAAGTTCCCATGTACAAACTGTGTGATTTGATGATATATTTGGACCCAAAACATTTTCAAACTAATTAATCTATCTATTAATCTATATTTAGAAGCATGTTTGTCACGTAATTTGGTATAGGAGGGCCCATTTTCAGAATTTATTTGTTGTTACTTACTGTCCGTTTACCCTACATATTGAAGCCTAAGTAAATTCTTGGATTATCTTCTGTCAAGTTCTTTTTGCGGAGTTTAATTGCAGTCTGTTGTTCATTTAAACCCTTCAATGTTCCCAAGGGTTTAAGAAATAAGAAATAATTTCGATTAAGAAATAACAACCGCTCCCTAAGTAAAGCTGTATCTCTACTTTCCATATATACCAAATTGTACATACTTTTATTGGAAATAACTACCCTATAAATACTTTCGAGGGAATGTATCTTTAACGTTGCTTTTCTTTTTCTTATTTCTTAACTTTGTAGGGAAGAGAGCTTGCATCACACCGAAATACAATGACGTTTATTGCATTTTTCCGGTCTAGTAACTGTCCTAATAAAATAAAAATAAGGAGTTTCATAACAACCCGATTATAATACACAAAAATAAACAAATAAACACAAAAAAATTTAGACAGTTGGGTGGAAGGGTTGACGACAATATTGACCCCATTAGAATTTGTTTGAAGATGCATTATATATTATGTCTATTGCAGGTCTTTTTTTTCTCGCTTCATATCTTATATAAACTATTATTTAGACATTTATTCACATGCCAACCCTATAATCGACTCTCTAGACTATTGGGTGGCCAACATTTAAATGGATTTGAACACAATAAAAAGCATAATCGAGACTTAGCCTGGGTGTTAAGTACCGTTGCTAAACGATCTACACCACATCTTCTAACAGATCTAACTTCGCTCAGAATAAAGTAATTTGAATGAAATTTTCAATACATTCATTTTTCAGTATCTTAAGCTATTATAGCATGAGCGGTCAACTCTTTATCTTAATCTTAAATAATACATCTTTAAGTAATGATAATGTAGGCCTACCTGTCGGTAACGCCTTCATCTTTTAAACCATGTTTGGTACAGTCGGCAGATTTCAACGGCATGGCCATGCATGATTTAATGGGGTAGCTGTATATTTTTTGAACTCTACCGACAAGTTCATAGTCCCGTTTTCTTTTACTCAACCATCGTAAAATTATATATTTCACAGAAGAAGACACTAAAAAATATCCAAAAATGTGTAGACCTGTATCGTTCAATGTCCCCATTTTTCCACTTCAGCTGTGAATATTATTTGTCACTATTATGTATACAAGATAACCAAATGTCATTGGATTAAAGTGGCGACTGTTAGTGTTACAGAATTTTACGAATATTCAGCCATTGGTGTGCAGGCATACTCATTCCGGCGTTTTGTTTGGGGTTTTTCCGCTCTACACCAGGCCAGCATTCATATTGTATTATATGTTACGTCCCTTGGTTAAAGAACGGCTTTATGTGGCCCAATATAGCTAAAGAACAGAAATGAAATGGGGTTTAACGTCCTACTGTTCTGCTCCTACCGGGCTAATGAAGACGTACATACGCCATACAATGTGCATGCTATGAGGGAAATCTTGCCCGGACAGCAGTGCTACGACCTACTCATATCGAACTGCAACTGCCAGGGGATCTTTTACAATGTGTACAAGGGACCTCGGTTTTTCGAACCATCCAAACGACTAGACAGCTATCCTTGTCGGGCCCTCCGTCCTGCACCACTAACAAGGGGAAACCACGCCAGAAAATCCCGATGAACTTTCTCGACCAAAACCGGGAGCGAACCCTGACCTCCAGGCTAGCGAGCCAGCGTCTTATTCACTTAGCCAACGTGTCTCCGATAAAGAACAGGAGTTTAACGTCTTACTTTTCAGCACCGACTGGGATAATGAAGACCCCATTCTGTAACTGGTAGCCGAGTGGTCAGAGCATAATTGGATTCTCGACTAGAACGTTCCAGGTCCATATTCTGACACGGGTGGCGCCGGCGGGGCTGCCAGGGAAAGGTTTCTAGTCGTTGGGCTGGGACCAAAAACTTCGGCCCACCTGTCGATACATTGGTGATCATGCAAAAGAGCTCTTAACAGTGTTGAACATCGAAGATGAGTAGATGGAAACTCTGCTGGCCGAGAATAGTTCCCCTACCTCGCATTGTACATTCAACCATAGAAATAAAAATGACCAAAGTATTGGTGAGACATTAAACCGCAATCCGCCCCACTCCTTTTCTTGTTATTTCTGTTTATTAAAAATGCACTATGTAAGATTTAGATAAGTAGCTGGCCGTTCTTGCAATAATAATTCAGACAATTTTATTAAAATTACTTTATTCTGAGCGAAGTTATCACTATTTGAAGTTTTGTCAAGATGTGGCATAGATTTTTTATTATCGTAACAACGGTACTTGCTATTCGAGTCTAGGCCTCACTTAGCAATTTTTAAATTAAATCATTAAATGGCGGTATTGTTTTCATCGGTTCAAATCTCCCTCAACCCATGGTCTAGATAGTTTGTTTTAAGCTTGACATGTGAATAAATGTCTAAATAATGGTTTTCATCAATTTTGAAGCCAGAATAAAGACCTGGGCCCTTATTCACGAAAACTTAAACTAAGTTACACCCAAAATTTTAAGAAATACTGCAACTTCATTGGATATATGCAAATCGATTTTACTGGTCAGCCAATCGAATTGCAGTTTTTCTTAAAATTTCGATTATATCTTAGTTTAAGTTTTCGTGAATAAGGGCCCTGCAATACTAGGCAGATCTACATAATGCATCTTTAAACGTTTATGTAATACACCCTGTTTTATATGCATATGGCTACTCACGTTTTATTCGTAATTTGACACACAAAACTTTGTTCAATCTAGGCTCATGTTGATCTTTCGTGAACAAGGACACTTATCATTGACAAAAGAAGATGCCCCAATAGTGATTTTCTGCGTTCAGAATGACCTTTTTAATATTTATTGGATGATTTTAACAACTGAGCTCTTTTTAAAATTAATATATTTAAATCCTTTATTATACACATAAGCCACAAGAACGATGATATAGCACAAAAATACTATAGTATTCTAAATTGAATTTTGCATCAAGACATCATGGCGACAGTTTCTATATGCTTCTGATGGACGGGTTAACATGTTTTAAGGCGGACTCCCCACTTTAAAATTATTAACCAGTGGGTCATTCTATGGAAATATATAAATAGTCTATTTATATTATTTGTATGGGTCATACTATATACTATATACAACATTACCAAGATACATTGACCCATATATGTTTTAATCTCAAATATTTTTACAGGTCATGTTATCTATACGTCTACACCTACTTAGAGAGAGAGAGAGAGAGAGAGAGAGAGAGAATGGGGTTTAACGTCCACTCGACACAAACTAGGTCATTTCGGACCTAACATATGGTTTCATTTTTATTTTAATAATTCGCTTGCGCGTAGGGGTCTTTAGCAGTGGGAGGAAACCGGAGGACCCGGAGAAAACCCACGAGGTTGGGCAAGCGACCCTACTCCTTGTCACGTACAACCGGGGATTCGAAACCATGCCAGTTGACTCAATGACAGGCTTTATGACACAGCGCGCACGTGCTAACCATTCGGCCATCCAACTCCCCACACCTACTTATAATTTTAATAGCACTAGAATCAATGAACCGCAGCGGTTCTAATGGGTGCCATAGAACGAGTTATACGCATATACCGCATATACATCTTAGCTGTAATAACTATTTGTTACAAATTTAACAATTGTTCTAAAAATTCAAGTCCTTTTGTATGTCAGTAGACGATACTAAAGGATGTACTTTCTAGGGCAACAGCAAATCCCACAGTAAATACTCGAAGATTCGGGACGTGATGACCGCCGATTTTGCATGAGAAACTAAATCCTGTTCGGGCACAAACACTCAATATTTAGTTGGGCAGATGGGAACAGCCGTGATATTTTGGTCTACGGGGTGACACTGCCTTTTCGACTTAATATTAATAATAATAATAATATATCTTTATTTTCAAAGGTGAAGAATTAGGCTTAAAGCCTGTTTACAATTTTGCCCTTTATAACAAAGAAATGTAAAAGACAGTAACAGAACAAGACACTTAACAAATACTCACACACAAAACATTCAAATATATACTGATAAGCTAAATAGTTTAACTTCAAAACTAACTTGATGGACTGCCTTCAAATTTGGAAGGTGTTAGGCCTACTTGCGTGGTTCTTATTCAGAGTTATTAAAATTAAGCGGATCTGTAACATGGCGACAACTTAAAGATATCTTAAAGGAGCAAATTTAGACATTTTCAATTTCTTCTCCAAAGCGAAAATTTGATAGGTCACGCTGTCGGTCGCAAAAGTCGCAATTCGAGATAAAAATATGAAAGTGGTGATTAAAATTTTTATTTTGGCCATAACATTTTGGGGTACTGGGAATTCTTTTTGAGAACTGGCGGAAAAAAATCTTAAAATTCTGATCATAGATTAACCATTAATATTGAGTGCGGCGGCATTACTCGCTGATAATCCGGATCGTGTCAATGAGTAATTTACCAATTGTCTCGGATTAATGATTAGTTGATTGATAATTGCCAACGGTATATGTAAAGCCTATCTCAAGTCATTATTTAGTCCTAATGATTAATCCAAGCAGTGATTATTTGATGTTTCGTTTCGTCTTAAAAACAAAATGGAAATAATTAAAAATGGCCGACAGTTCTTTCCGAAGAGAATTAAATATTCCGTTTACTGTGGCTTCATACGGCATGTAACATATACAAGCATGCCTAATCGGATATTTTTATTTCAAATTATATTATCACCATTGGTCGGAAAAGCAAGAACGAGTCGAATAGCAACGATTCTCGAGTGAGAAAACGGTCCGCCATTTGCTTTATATTACCGCCGCCAAAATGGTCTAAAGTGAACGACGAGTACAATTTAAGAATCTCTTACAATTAAGATTGAAATTTATATCATTCTATCAGGGATTCACACATTTTTGGCAGATAAAAAATTCCAGTTAAAGGAAAAAAAATATGAACATTTTTGGCAGATAAAAAATTCCAGTTAAAGCAAAAAAATATGAACATTTTTGTTGATAAAAATTATCATCCATTTTGGCGGAAAGAAATTGAAAGACAATGTGAGCATTGGGGATTATTCACTATGTTCAAATGAAGCTGAACATTCTACCTCCATTAGAAGCAGCGTTATTTTAAAGTCTCGGTCAATCAAATTGTTATATCTACTTAGTCTGTGCAGAATATCCTCATCATCGACTTCAGTCAAGACAGTCACCTAACATTCTACACCTAACGTTTAAATATACCAGCTCAGTTTGAAGCAGAATTAGTGTGTCCAAAACAAGGGTGACGTACAGACGTACAGACGAATCCATTTTAATAGTCCCTGGTTGTACGTGACAAGGAGTAAGGTCGCCTTTCTGATCTTTCTAAGGTCCTCCGTCCGATTTCCGTCCACTGCTAAATAAAATTGAGCCGTATGTTAGTTCCGAAATAACCTAGTTTGTGTCGAGTGGACGTTAACCCCCCCACCCATTTTTTTCGAAAGGCTAGGGGTGGGGTCAATTTGACCTACGAACACGCTCCCAAAAAAACATTACTAAGTTAATTTGTTTAAAATGGCGTCTGTCAATAAAGGTTATAAAAATTACAAAATTCATACAATAAATGTAATTTAGCTTTATACAGAACAGTGAACAAATATCGATTACATTGAAAACTCCACAAAAATGTATATTATGACAGACATATTACATTGATGATCATCAAATTTTAAAACATTAGATTTATTTTAGTAATCTATCCAGTAAAGTCTTTAAAATCTTGCCATAGATTACTCATTATTCCATATATATTATAAACTATAACACATACTTATGGAAAAACATCTACTTATTTATTTGGGTGACGTTTTATAGACTATTCTCTCAGCGTTATCAAGCGAATACTCTTTATAACGTTGAGAGAATACTCTTCGAAACGTCGCCCAAATAAATCAGTAATTCTTCTTCCATAAGTATGTGTTATAGTTTACTGCTATATCCAGTTACTAAACGCTTGTCAGAGATGATTCCATATATAGCTAATACAAATTTGTAGTGTTTCTTGCAGTCAGCATTGTTGGTTAATATGTGGCGTCTAGAATTTAAGAACAACTTTTCCAACTCTCTCATCAGATAAATTATTTAGAGTTTCTATAGCATCTTCATAAGTCACTAACTTGGTTATGGCACATCTGGAATCAAAAATATAATTGTATCTTAAATAATTACTGTAGATGTTTTCTTAGAATCGGAAAATCCTAATACTTTTCATTTTAGAGAGAGAGAGAGCGAGGGGTAGAGGTTTAACGTCCACTCGACAGGTCATTTCGGGACATATGTAGCACCATAGGGCTTTCTGTCTGACGTGGAGAGCGGACACGTACTAAAAACCGGTCGCCACATCTTACATACGACCCACTCATCTTTTCTTACTACATGTACATATTTCTGTAGCCTTGTGATCGTCTAGAATTTGTCTCTAGCTGTCTTTACTTCTGCTTCACGTTGTGTATTTACTTGTTACAGTTTCTTAAGACGTCTGTCTTACCAGGAATAACAATGCGACAGTTTGCTTCTACATATTTTATATATATATATATATATATATAGCTGAATACAGGTATACAAGCATAATAGATAACAATACTAACTAAAACCATTTCTCTACCCTAGCCAGCCTCGCGGCTGTCTAAGAACTCAGATGTAAGCTTTCTGGAACCTAATAGAAGCCTGACTTAAAACTTTACTATGATTTATTTTATAAGACTCCTGGACATCACGCACAGAAAGCCTGTTCATGGCCCTGAACCTGTGCAATTAACGATATGATTGGTTACTTTAAATCAAATGATGCAATTAGAATAATTCCACTCACGTGTAATTCTGGTGGTAAATTTTTGACACGTTTTGGCTAAACAGCTCTTTTTTATATAACAATATGTCAATTACAGACTAAGTTGATTTAATACAAATTCTACATATGTGGGAACCTACCAACTTGCCAAAGATATTAATTAATGAAATATACTGCCATCATTAATCTCAAGAGCAAAAATTCTAGCAATATTATTACACAAACACATGGTTCAATTTTATTTCAATAATTCACTTGTGCGTAGGGGTCTTTACCAGTGGGAGGAAACCGGAGGACCCGGAGAAAACCCACTGCAATAAAAATAAAGTAAGTTCATAGCTGTGTTTTTCTTTATTTAGCTTAAGTCATTCTATATGTTTATAACTAGTCTCTATCTACGGTAGTTTAGCTAGTAGCGGAAATCAAAAAGGCCAGGGGAAATCAAGAAGGCCACCTGAAAGCGCGGGAACCATGGGTGTGACCTAAAAGAGTATTTGACCACTGTATACTTACTTAAGTATCCCATCTGACAGCTTCTTGATACAATCTTTTAAAACATCTGATATATTATTTGAAAGAAAATAATTATTTTCTCTTGGTAGAAATAAAGAATAAAAACAATTGCTAATACAGGTATTGATTTTAAATCGGAAAATTTCTAATTTCGGTAATAAAGTATGGATGTGTTGGGATCATTTATTCTTGTAAATGTGATCACGGTTACTGCCTTTGTTAAGGCAATGTTTTGTAGATAATATACACATAGCCATGTTTTTGGTTTATATCGTTTAAACTACCGGTACTGGGCATTTTCCTTTTAAAAGGTCTGGTGTTGCTTCTGGCCATAAAATATATTGAGACGCAAAGAAAACACATCACTGAAATGCTGGCGAGACATGATTGTGGGCTGAATATTTGCCGACACAAAGAAAAATAAGAACCCACCGGGAACATAACAACTTTACAGTGAAACATAAGCACAAGGGGTAATAAAAACAAGTCAGTAACGTGTGTGTCCACCTCAAGCAACGTTGCTGTATGGAAGAGATATAGCCTCTGAATAGCTACTCATGGTACTGGTGTCCTCTTGAAATAAGGCAATGGTGGGTTTAGGGGTCAACCTTGGCAGGGTTAGTACTATTTCTTAAGGCCACCTCCAGATTAGGTCAAAGGTCACCAGATGTAAACAGGGTTAGTGCTAACCCCAACCCTAGATCTAGCCCTAGCCCTAACCCAAACCCTAACCCACAATCTCGTCAACAATCACCTGCCCTAACCTTATTACATCTCAGCGACCTTGACCAAATCAGGAGGTGAGCTTGAGAAATAGATCTAGCAACCTTGGTATCACTGCGTCTTCCAGAGAACTGTGGGAGTTGTAACGACCCAAGCTTTCAAAAGACAGATTTTATACCCCATGTTTGCCAATCAAATCCTAATTTTGAACATTCCCATTCTGTCAAATTAAAGGTTTTTATGCTTGAGAGAACTGGTCTGTGTGACACGTTTTTAAAAGGATACGTTGATATCGACCTTGTTGACTGTAAGTAACTATCCACGCTTGGTCAAATAAAAAACATACACTACTACCTCGTAGAAATAACTGTTGACAGTCAGGTGGATCAAGCTGGCAATGTAAAAATGTTCATTTACTTGACATAGCTAGGAATTGAATTTTTTTTTGTGTAATTTGCATATTATTATGTATATTAAGTTTATGTCGAGTGTAACTAAGTCAAAATTTATCTTTAATATTTCTGGGAATCTGTTGTGCTCAGGCCAAAGTGAGATACAATTATATATTGAAATTGAGGAAGACCTATCATTTTCTGTTACTACATACCAATGTTGCTATATTAAATTTTTTCTTGTCAGACATTTTTACCGAAAAAAAGGGGCATAACTCTTAATATGAACTATTAATTATCATAATAGCATTTTCTCTTTACATTATATGTTCAGTGCAGGAACAATCTCGCTTAATCAATGAATCTTTCTTGTCGAAACTTTGGATTTAGGATTAAAAGGTTCTTTGCATGATCTATCTAGGGAACCTTTTATAAAACCAGGGGCCTGTTTCACGAAATTTGAACTAAGATAAAAATCCAAATTTGAGTAATTTGATTGGTTAATATTAGATTGATTTTAGTGCTTAGCCAATCAAAATTGAAGTATCTACTAAAATTTTGATTTTGTCTTTAGTTAAGATTTCGAGAAACAGGGCCCTGAAACATGACATGAAATATTGATGTGTCATAATAAAGAATTGCCTCTACCTGAAGATCTGGTTGAGATGTCACCCATTTACCAAATACACTGAGACAAGAGAGTACATCATGTTTATGTGGTATAGGATATTTATAGTTTTCATGGTACTGTTTGATATCTTCTTCATTTGTAAACATTCGAACTGTAAGAGAAAGAAAGAAATGGAGTTTAAAGTCCACTCAACACAAACTAGGTCATTTAGGGACTAATATATGGTTCAATTCTATTTCAATAATTTGCTTGTGCATAGGGGTCTTTAACAGTGATGGAAAGTCTGAGGAGCAGGAGCAAACCCACAGGGTTGGGCAGGCGACCCTTCTCCTTGTCAAGTGGGGAATCGAAATCGTGCCATGTGACTCAACGACAGATCTTATGATGCAACATGCACGCGTTAACCATTCAGCCATCCAAGCCCCTTCGAACTGTAAGAGTCCTGTTGGTAGTACATATAAAAGGTGGAAATTATGTTAACAAAGCGCGAGATAATGATTCAGGCATATGTGATATCACAATTAATGATTTGCATCAATGAAATTTAATCACAATGTCATTGTATTAATTCATAATAAAAATTGACCCGGGTTCGAACTGTAAAATAATAAGAGTTATTGTTATTATGTTAATAAAAGAAGGATGGGATGGGGTCCAGAGATTTGTATGACCTTCCAGGGATAATACTTATACTCTATATCAAATTTTATTTTGTATTAATAACAATATCTTTACCTCCATTATCAATAAAACAATCAACACCTAGACCACCTGTTTCTTCCATAACACTACTTAATAACACATTATTCTTATTACTTACTTCTGTCATATGTGCTGAAATATACAATAGTAATATTAACACCATTTAAAGTAGCTAAATAAAAATAGATACATCTCTACGATCAAGACGTTCCATTACTTGGAGTTCACAGTCATACACGAAATATGCAGATGTACGTGGAATATTGAAAAGATAAGTGGGATAAATCAAGGCAGTGGACCAATGAAAGTTTAAAGTAGCTAAGTCTCTAATTCAAAATCATCCAAAGTCTTCCACGAGTTATTAGTCAATTTAAATCAACATTGATGTTGTGATCTTGCTGATATCCAATTTTTAAGACAAAATAAATATTTGTAACATTTGTAACAAGTGACTCAAAGAACCTGGCTAGATATATTCCACTAGTCATGTCAAACGGTGACGCCGTATTCTTATCTGGAGAGCATGTGCAATAAATACTATCAGTGTAGACTGAAATAACCATATCCTAGAGATTGCCATTCGATCGAGACTTCTGGCGTATTTCGCCAAACATAACTGATTAAAAATTATGGTAATATCAGAAACGATTGAATGTAAATTAGTTTATATACATTCATATTAAATTATCATAAACGTTGCGACCCTTTTGTGTCAATTTCTAGGTCCCAAATATTAGCGATTTAGACAGTATTCTTCTAACTCAAGTGACAGTGACCCTAACAGTTTAAAATCAGTATATAACAGATGGTTACCTCTTGTCTAGTTATTATTAAATCATTAAAAGTTGATTACAGGTTACACAGGTTGATTTTATAACTTAACTGGTCTATATACATAGAAAATCCAAGTAAAGGACGATAAAACCCCCACACTCGAAAAAAAAGGAGGGCGGAAGATTCCCTAATACAGTGCAGGCAAGTCTGGATCTCAGTGATACATCCGGGGATAAGCAGGAACCGATCCGTGAAAAATATCAAAAATAGAGGATCCCCGGCAACAAACTTCACAACACTGTGTAGATGGTTTAAAAAATTATAATCTAGGTCTGGAACATGTAACCAACTCTGGCTGATGAAGGGCGAAACATGTTCCAGACCTAGATTATAATTTTTTAAACCATCTACACAGTGTTGTGAAGTTTGTTGCCGGGGATCCTCTATTTTTGGTCTATATACACATGACCAGAAAATCTGATGAACCTAAGTTAGAAACTTTCATTTTCGAGCCAAGAAGTTTACATGTAGGCCTACCACTGAAAATTAATTTTAGTGTATAGTCCTTCAGATGGCACAAACAGTTAAAAGTAGTGTTGGTAGTACATATAAAAGGTGATAATTATGTTACCACCGTTAGAAGCTAATCTTTTGCCAGGGCAGTGGTTTTTATTAATCAGTGCTAGAATTTGTACAACTGCACTCCCTGTCATTTCTGCTTACATTTTATCAAATGGATACTGAACCAAAGGTTTGTAAATTGTGTCTGCTGTTTTCATTAAGAAAAACTAGTCACATTAAGGTTTTGAAAGATGATAACAAAATCTATTTATTGCAATTACATGACCACATAAACTTACCAACTGGTGGTTGAATTTTTTCTAAGTATCTTTTTTCAGCTTGAGTACAATAAGTTGTTAAAACCTGAAATCATTCAATATATGACTTGTTTAAAAAAAGTTGTGTGGGTGTGTTTTTAATATCATAGTGAATGGAGAGAGAGAGAGGTGGGGTTTAACACCCACTCCACACAAACTAGGTCATTTCAGGACTAACATATGGTTCAATTTTATTTCAATAATACACAGTAATTGTATTCCATATAATTGTATCCTTGGTATTTTATCATAGTCGACCTTTAAACAATCTGATTAAAATACAGATCTATATTTTGTTTTGTTTTGTTATACTTTCAATGGTCTACGTTACATGAAGATCTCTCATACGAGAGGCTTTTGACCCTATGACATCGGACATTTGGTTTACCAATCAGCATTGCTGTTTCTAGTGGGTTACCCACAGTTCTGTGCACCTCACACCAAAAACTTGCTGTAACAGACCGTTTCATTGGCTAATTCCTCACATCATCCACAACGCGGGTTATATAGCAACGTTGCCCGATCCTAGTGTAGTAAAGACAAGTAAAATGAAATTTTGAACTATAAAAAAACGAAAGAAAATAGTATCTGTGTTTTAACAAGTCAATTTTATGAATATTGTTTTTTACTTAAACAAGATGAAGGAATATGAATAAATATAGACGTACCTTAGCTCCCCAGTGTTGTGCTAACTGTATAGCAATACTACCAGCATGAGAAGCACCATCCATAATAAGCATTGTATCACCAACACAGATTTTAGCATGATAGAATAGAGCAGTATAAGACCTCACGCAATCACCAATAGATGCTGCTGCTTCCTCAAAACTTATATTGTCTGGCTTCTTTACTGAAAATTAAAATCAAACAGGTATTATTATAATCGATCAATAAGAGTCGGTGCCAAATGTAAGGTACCTGGAATCTGATTTTAAAATTTTTCAGGGCAGTGACAGACATCGCAATAAATATGACAATATTTTTAAGACACTCCATATTTTCTATTCCTCTGAAACAAGTGGATACCATATCTTTACCTCTTTTTGAGGGTTTTCCCCATCTTCCCTATAATTAAAGACTAAGAGTCTTATAATTGTGCAGTACATGTCACGGACAGAATGTAAGGAGACAGTTGGAAAAATCTTTGACTCAAATGACGTAATTCATCTAAATAAAAATAAAATACAATAAATTCAGTTCTCTTCACATAACACTTGCTCAGGTGTATACTTACCTACATCATATTGTTGAAAGACACAATATTCCCCACATCCTGAATATATACTATCTAAGGGTAAAACACCTGAAATACGGTCCGTATATCATAAGTTAGTATGAGGTACGAAAATGAAATGAAATGAAAAGGGGTTTAACGTCCTACTGTTCACATGATTAGACAGCTGTCCTTGTCAGGCCCTCTGTCCTGCACCATGTCAGAAAATCCTGATGAACTTTCTCAGCCAATGCCGAGATCAAGCACACAACCTCCAGGCTAGAGAGCCAGCGTCTTACCCACTTAGCCACTGTGACTCCTGTATGAAGTATGTATATTGAACCTTGTCAAGTTGTCACATTTTGATTATTATTCTTGTAGAAATTCTATATTCTCATTAAGTATCAACCAGATTAAAAATAATTCTATGAATTAAAATCTATCTCACCAACAACAGGATCACCCACTTTGATCTGTGTTACACCTTCACCAACTTGAGTCACTAAACCACAAACATCTTGTCCTACTGGATATTCTTTCTTTATTTGTTTTTTAAACAGTTCATTGTATACCTGTCATATAGATAACAATTTAATTAATATCTTTAGACCAATTATATCCGAAGGATCAAAAGGTATCCCTTTCAGGAAGTAGATAATGAAACTACTGGCGTATTGTCAAACTGTCAAAGTGAATATTATTGCTTACTAATATCTCCTAATATGTCATAGACGTACACACAATATGGCTTTAAATTGCGATATAAAACAAATTAAATAACTTTCCGTTGGGAAACCATGGAGCAACACAAATTGGACTGATGCCCACGACCTCACATATGTGTAAGCAGCTCATGGCAACATTTTCATCTACATCCAGGGGGTGGGGGGTTGGATGGCCGAATAATTAGTGCGTGCGTGTCGTATCATAAGGTCTTCCACTGAGTCAACTGCCGTAGTATCGATTCCCGGCTGTACATGACAATTTAAGGAGTAGGCCTATATAGGGTTGACTGTTCATGAACCTCATGGGTTTTCTCCGGGTCCTTCGGTTTCCTCCCACTGCTAAAGACCCCTACTTACAAGCAAATTATTGAAATAAAATTAAACCATATGTTTGTCCTGAAATGACCTAGTTTGTGTCGAATGGACGTTAAACCCTATTTCTCTCTTTCTATCATAAACTCTGCAAAAAGTAAATCAAACCTTGTAGTCTATTAAAGACAGTCCACATGCCTTTATTTTCACAATTATTTCATTTGGCTTTGTTTCAGATGGTGGATCCTGAAATTAGATTATATAAATTATTTTTCATTCAGAATTTTTTAAGAATTATCACTTTAATAAATAATATTTAATTTTTACATTATTTATTTTTGTTCAATGAAAAATTGCTAAATGTAGTTGTCTCCCTTTAATACTACTTACACATTCATGTTTAATAAACTTTGACGTAATACCATCATCGCATGTCAATCTTTTAATACATTTCATATCCGCAGGATAATCATTGACACAAAAATTTATAAAACGACTGTCAGTTATTCTGTTGAAGAAACTCTGATCTAATATTATCTGGGAAGCAGATTAATTCCCTCTTTTCACTCCTCTTTTGAAGTTGGAAACGCCCACCGTACCCACAATTCAACGCGAAAAATCCGATGGAGACTGATCTGGTGATTGATATTCAGACAAGAAAAACGGTATTTATTTAACAACATGCGCCCAAAAAATATCCTGTTACGCAGTCGTCAATATATTTAGCAAACAGAGAATCACATTGCAAGAGCAGATTGTTACAATATTAGGAGTTACTCGAAGAATTCTGCGGTTAGAAGAACAGCCTTCAAGAAAATATGGCCGCCCACTGCATTTTGTGGTGATTTTTCGCCTTACATTGATTTGTTCAAAGAGAGAAGTATGCTTACATTTTCATCTTATCTGGGGTTGATTGATAATATGTCTTTTGTAGATCATAAAAGAGGGCATTAATAGGGAGAAAGTATTTGAGAAGGCCTAGATGCTGTCCTTTCTGTATTAATTATTGAATTTTGGAAAAATAATTATATAAATGAATGTGTGCTCCTACCGGTACATTTGATAAAATATAGGATAGCTTGGCATTTTAAACCAGTTCTAATGCTCAACTAAGTACATTATGCAGGTAGAAAATTATTAGAGATCCCAGATTATTTGGTCATATTAAATTTTGTAAATGGATATTGATTGTGGACTGCCAGGCGAATAACAACAGAACAATAATATTTTAAAAGTCTTAATGAATGACAGTTTATTTGATTGTTGATTTTCTTAAAATATATGATTAATATAAAGGATTCATAGCTGTGTTTGAGCATTTTGAAAAAGCTTGATTATGGTCAATAATTTGTCTTTCCAAAAATGTAGCCAAAGCATTATGTCGGAAGTGGTCCAAAACATTTCCACCATGTAAACTGTAGTCACAGTAGAGGTAGGCTACACAACATTAAATGCTATACCAGTAGCCTACTGGTAAATCGGTAGCATGGTTTACCCAAATCCACTTTTATTTCAACTCATGTAATAATAATTTATAGCTGTATTTAATAATATACTGTCATTCATGCCAAGTTGGCATTTTTAATTTTAAATCGTAATGTTTTTGTTTCAAAGATATCCCTCAAAATGCAGTTTCCAAGCAAATGATTTCATAGAATAGAATACACGAGTTATGAACCTTGGTGACAACTTCCAAACTTGTATGAATACATTTGTATGAATAATTCCAGGTAACATTCTCCCTATCAGGTAATAAAGCCCTAAAAAGTAATCTAGTATTAAGGAATCTGAATCTAATGGTATAAGAAGTGTCAGGTTAGATAAGAACTTAAGAAAATTACTTTGGGTTTAATTTTCAGTTTGCTATTTCATTAACTATGGCGTTCATAGTGACATGGTTTGGCTTAATTAAAGTAGAATTTATTACTCAGAATAGACTAGCATTAGAAGTATTTTATATTTGCATTTTACAAGATTCCTATCCTAAACCATTGCTGACTTGATGTGCTTGTGACCTTCTGAATTCAGATATTTTATACTGGCTGTCTGTAGAGATTTTTATTCTAATTTTAAAATAGTGTCTAGACCTGACAATCAGCCGGAAACTAAGGATCCAAGGCTTGTTATATTATGAATATGATGGCATGATTATTGATATATTTGGAGATATCATTATATTGTAGGGCAGTCTACTATGTACAGTTTCTTCATTTTTGACCGATAAAATGTTCTTGTACCTTATATGAGATATTGTTATTAATACATGTACGCAGTCTACATATTCATATTAAATTTTTTTTTCTCAGAGCTAATGAAACTAGAAAACCATCAAGAATCCAATAGATTGAAGATATAATATTTTACAATGGCGGGAACAGCAGGTAATGAATAAAGTTTATATTAGTCACATGTTCTGAATGTCATTTTTAAAATTATACTTTGAAATATTTAATGCAATTTTGGTACACTGTGGAGTTAACTTATAGCAGAGATACAGACCGAGTTGACATTTCAAGGGAACATTATTGTCCTTTATTGCTTAAAATCAATATAAATTCTGATTTCCGGAATTATTTCAGATTAAACTTTGAAGTACATGTATGTGATTGAATGTTGGTACACATTGTACACTATAGTTACAGATCTAATTTTCGTTTTTGTGGGATTCAGTTCAATTTTTATAAGCCCTGGTTGATTTTATACACAGATTTGATTAATAATGATATTGATTTTCAATGAATTTTGATAACTTGAACAGCTAAACCCATGATATTAACTAGAAGCCAAACAAATTCTAATGATTTCTGATAATTACTTAGTGAGATGTTACTCTTAACTGCTGTGGGTATATGTTTCTTTGCCAGGCAACCTATCTTTAATCCTGTTTTCCGGAATTTTTTGAGGTTAAACTTCCTAAGCTGTAACAGAAAAATTCAGTTTTACAGAATTTGTTCCATCTATACCTATTTGGATATTCACAGTATCATTCTTGTATGCATTGTAAAACTTGTAGGGGCTAGTTTATTGTTTGACAAAAATATTTATACTTTTATGAGCCTGTCTTCATTAGCCCAGTCAGAACAAAACAGTAGGACGTTAAACCCCAGTAGGATGTTAAACCCCATTTCATTTTGAACATACTTTTATGAGTTGAAGACTTATACTGTAAACTATAAAAAGTATTGATTGTTTTTTAGGTCGTGATGATCCTTGGAGAATATCTGGTGAGGATCGTGCTAAACATGATTCACAGTTCTTTCAACTCAAACCCGTCAATGGATTTGTCACAGGTAAATAATACAATTGGGGAAAAATATTGTACATTCATATTGGATTTTCTGATTTCTTAATTTATTAATAGACAACTTAGCAATTACTGCCTTACAAAACAAAGAATAAACAGTATATAAACTCTACACATGCATTCTAAAATTTGAAAGCGACAAGACCACTGCTACATGTAGTTGGCTAGGGTTATACATGTATGTACTTATAATTGCATATTATACACAATTAACCAGGAATTAGGATCATACATGTTCATTTAGAAATAGGGAGCCATGGTGGCTAAGTAGGTAAGACGCTGGCTCGCTAGCTTGGAAGTCGCGTGTTCGATCCCTGCATTGGCCGAGAAAGTTCATCAGGATTTTCCGACATGGTTTCCCCTTGTCAGTAGTGCAGGTAGGAGGACCTGATAAGGACAGCTGTCTAGTTGTTCACATGGGAGGAAAAACCAAAGTCCTGTGTATACATTGGCGGTGCACAAAAAGTATCCCTCGGCAGTTGTAATTCGATATAAAAGTAGGCCATAGTGCCACTGCCTGGGCAAAATTTCCCTCATAGCACACTGTATGGCGTATTTGCCCGTATTCATTAGCCCAGTCGGAGCAGAACAGTAGGACGTTAAACCCCATTTCATTTCATATTCATTTAGAAATATAAAATGTGATAATTACATGTACTTATTGTCAAGAGACTAGAATGGGAAATGTAAACCTAAAATAGCCTTACAAGCTTACCTACAATTTCAGATAAAATTCATGATTGAAACAAAAGACAACTGTAATTGTTTTTTAAATTATCTGCATATTTTTTATTCATTATGAAACCTATTGTAAATTTTAATTGTGGTCTTTTTTTTTTGTAACAAATCATGCTAATTTTACTGAGCATGGCTAAAAAAACACATTTAATAATAGTTTTATGTTTTTAGCTGTGTAATTTAATAATTTGAGAAGTTAGAGTTGTGTTATTTGGTTATATAATCATATTTTATATATAAATTATTTTAGGTGACCAAGCTAGAGGTTTCTTTTTACAGTCGGGTTTACCCAATCAAGTATTAGGACAAATATGGTAAGACTACAAAAATAAAACCTTATTCAATTAATCTTTAAGTGGCATTTAAACTCATTAACAGAACACAGTTTTTATACGCCCCATTGAAATGTGGTCGTATTTTGTTGACTTTAAATTTATACACAGTGTTTAAGATCTTGAGACGAACAAGTATATTGATTTTCAAGAATCTTTATGACTTGAACAGCTAAATTCATGATGTTAAAAGTTTTGTATACTAAACGTTAGCATGGGGCAGAATTTTATAAAAACCAAACAAATTCTAATGGTTTTCTGATAATTACTTAATGAGTTGTTACTCTTAATCAGATTTTAATGTATTATAAATGTTTCATTACCGAAAAAGTAAAAATATGTGACAAGTTGACAACTCTTGTTGACTGCCCGGATGATATAGCTGCTGTGGGCATATGTTTCGTTGCCTGGCAACCTATCTTTATGGGATATAATCACGAGTTTTATTCTAAAAGCACGATGTTTGATGTTTCAACAAGTATCCTCTTATCGCTATCAAGCACAATGATGATAAGAGGATACTTGTCGAAGCGTCGGGCTTTTAGTAAAACTAGTGATTGTATCCCATAAAAACTGTGTTCTCTTATTCCATTAAGTGAACAGAACTGACTAATCAAGATATGGAGGAGGGCGGTAGGGGGGAAATCTAGATCATAAGATCTGTAATTGACTCCAGTGGCATAGTTTTGATTAAGTTTTGCTCATGCTTAAAATCGTGGGTTTTCTGCAGGCCCCTCATTCACAAAGCATTCTTAGACTTAAGTTAAGAATATACTCAAAATTATTCGCCTTATTCTAACTAAAATATAGCCCTTTATAAAACTTTTGTTGTTTTAATGTATTAAATACATCAATAAGAATCTAGGTGCAAAGTTTTGTGTTTCTGGGTCAAAGATATTTCTCATAAACAGTTGAGTAAATTCTCAACTTAAGTCTGAGAATGTTTTGTGAACTTGGGGCCTGGTCCTCTAGGTTTCTCCTAAAGATAAATCTCCTACGCACAAGCTAATTATTTTAATAAGATATCAGGTTACTCCAAAAAGGGGGTTGAATGGCTGAAAGGTTAGTGTATGTGCGCTGCACCATAAGGTCTGTCATTGAGTCAACTGGTGTGGTTTTGATTCCCCGGTTGTACGTGAAAAGGAGTAAGGCCGTCTGTCCAACCTCACAGGTTTTTTCCGGGTCCTCCGGTTTCCTCCCACTGCTAAAGACCCCAACGCACAAGTGAATTATTAAAATAAAATTGAACCATGATAGTCCCAAAATGATCTATTTTGTGTCGAGTGGATGTTAACCCCATCTCTCTCTCTCTACCCTAAAATATAAACCAGTTTCTGTTGAATGAAGGTCTCACTGCTTTTGATGTTTATTTCAGGACAATAGCAGATATGAATGGAGATGGAAAAATGGACAAAAAAGAGTTTTCAATTGCCATGCATTTAATCAAAAAGAAACTACAGGGATATGAGCTACCACGAACAATACCCCCAAGTTTAAAAGCTGATCCTTCACCTGTGATTGGTTCTTTTGGTGCCCAACCAATGAGCATGGGAATGGGAGCACCTGCTGCTGCAGGATTTGGAATGGGCAGAGGTAAAAATCTGGGGCCTGTTTCACGAAATTTTAACTCAGATAAAATCCAAATTTTAGTAATTTGATTGGATAATATTATATTGAATTTAGTGCTTAGCCAATCAAAATTGAAGTATCTGCTAAGATTTGGATTTTATCTTTAGTTAAGATTTCGAGAAACAGGGTCCAGGATTCTTGTTTTTAATTCACTGAACTTTTGGTTTCAAAAAAAAAAAAAAAAAAAAAAAATGATTCTGTGTACAAATTGTAATTGTGTACAGTGGTAATCATGGGAGCTGCAGTGGCTCAGTGAGTAAGGTGCTGGAGTTTTTTGACTTCTATCCCGGTGATGACCAAGACAGTTCCTCAGAATTTTCGGGCATTATTACCCCTGTCAGTGATGCCGAACAGAGGGTGGGACAAGAACAGCACCTAGTTGTTTGTATGGGATGGAAATTGATGTCTTGCGTAAACATTGGCATGTGGTTGAAAGAACCCTTGGCATTTGGAATTCAGTTGCTGTCCTTGCAATATTTCCCTTGTGGCACACTGTATGGTGTATGCCTGTTTTCATTAGCCCGGTTGGATCAGAAAAGTAGGACGTTAAAGATTTCTTTCTTTCAACTTGTTTGACAATAATATACATGGCTTAAAAATGATCAAACAAATTCATTCTTGTTTATCTAGGTATGGTACCAATGAGTATGAGTATGCCAGGCGCCTCCTTACAGACTGCTACCATGACAACAGGAGCTATGGGAATGCCACTTATGGCCAATGGAATGGCAGCAGGCATGCAACAACAACAAACAGGATTCATGGGTAGGCTTTTCAGATTGATCAACCAATGAGAGGGCTTGAATAGTTAAAATCACCAGTTTTCTTCAATTTCCTACACATTTTATTTCATATAATACAAACTTTACTAATCCATAAGTGCTAGAAAAAACTTAAACTGCTAATTAATGTCTGAATTATTCCTCATAATAGAGAGAGAAAATGAGCAATACAAAGAACAAAATTCTTTACAAGCACAAATAAGTTGAAATAAAATTTTCAAGTTGTTTAGAGTGGGTAGACTTATTGCTGAGTTCATATATTCATTGCCTGTCTGTGAGATGGGTGGCTTGTTTTAAAACAATTTAAGCTTTTGTTATTATTGTTTCAATGTAATCATCTTTTATTTGTTTCATATAGCACCTGCTATGGGTGGTGTTGGCGTGCAGCCAGGTCAAAGGTAAACAAAACTTTATTTGTTAGGGTAATTTGATATCAACACTGATACACACGTTGTATGCATAATGGTTTGATTTGTTTCCATATGTCCTCATAAATTGCTATGTAAAGATGGAGAAATGTGAATGGATCGCGATAAAATTAATGCTAGGGTATCTTATCTTCATCACCAAAACTGATTGGGAAAAGACCTGATTTGCTTAGCAATAACATTAATTTCTATACCCTTTATTATTATGTAAAACAAAATGAGTAAATATCTCTATGAATTAAAGAGATGGTCTAGCACAAATGACGTCTTATGTGGGTAAGGGTAAGGTTTAAGGTTAGGTTAGGGTTAGTGCTAGTGCTAGCCCTATTTATATCTCAATACCTTGATGAAATCGGCAGCCCTAACACTTACCCTAACTCACCTTCCACATATTACGTCATATGTGCTAGACCGTCTCCGATCTAGCGTTCTCCGTAAATTAAAGATATTGTCATACAATGAAATAATGAATGGTGATTATATGTAGTTAGACAATAGGCTAGTAAATTTTAAACTAACAATGACTACCGACTTTCCAAAAGCCTCTCAGCTGTCGTAGGAAAAGAGTATGGAATAGCATTAATTTCAATACACATTTCTGACATTTCCAAGTAGATCGGATCGAATTAATATGATAATACATTATTTTCTTGTTTATATTATGTTAAAGGAAATTTTAGCAATGTTTTATTTTCTATTTATAGTGCTGGTGGAGGCACATTTAGTTGGGCTATACCACATCCTAATAAATTAAAATATACTCAATTATTTAATACAAATGATAGAAATAAGAGAGGATTTCTAACAGGTGAGTTAATAAGATACATTTTAAATCTTTGGACCAGGAACTCGGTCTAAAGCGCTACTCTTCTTCTTGTTCTTCTTATTGGGGGGGGGGGGGCAACGATCTTCGAAGAAAGTCTAAGGCTCCAATAATTCTAGTATGATTGACATGATACTGGGCATGCTTGTTTGGTTTCAAGATGGCTACAATGACGTTGAACTGCTCGGTCAAAGTCCATAGTACACAAAGTTGTTAGCCATATAAATTCCTCAACTGAGGACCAGGTGTGTGATATGCATTTATTTTTGTCTCTAGGTTACTGAAACCCCTATAAGAAACAGATACTGTAACCTGGATATCATTTAATCTTGTGTATCTAGCACTAATTTCTTTCACATTAATTCAATCAATATCAAATCTTTGTTTCAAAATTCGTAAAAATCACCAAAAATCATCTAATTTGTACTTGTGTCCTGTTTAAAGCTGACCATTAACGAATGTCCAAATTACAAGCGTTTAATTTCTCGATCACTGTTAAAAAATAAACAACCCAATTGATTATTGATGTATAATGATTAATTTTTCAACAGTGGTCAGGAAATTAAATACTTATAAATTGGACACTCATCATCAAAATTTATCAGTCAGCTTTAAACTGGACACAAGTACAAATTAGATGATTTTGGTGATTTTAAATGATTTTTACGAATTGTTAAACAAAGATTTGATCTTAAATGAATGTGAAATAAATTAGTGCTAGATACACAAGATTAAATGATACTTGGGTTACAGTTAGAAATACTAATAGGTCACATCAATGGATTGTTTAGAGTCTGTTCATATAGCCACAATACTTTGAATTGTAGTACTCAAGATAATTTTTCTCGTACAGCAATACAACATTTTTAAACTCTCCCAATTAATATGCACATTTCTGTCTAAGCTGTGTATCTCTACACCAATTAGAACTGTTCTGGGTATCATGTGTTCAAATATTGTATCTTGATTTGTTGAAATTTTGAAATGCAAAAGGTTCTATTTCTTAATCTTTAGAAATTCTTAGATACACCTTTTTGACAGTGACACTTCACCGACGATATCAGATTCATCTCTATATATCAAAGTAAACTAATTTTAGAATGTACATCTAGGTGATATGCTCTTGTCATGTAGAAAGTTTTAAAGTTTGTTGTAAATTTTACAGGTGTAGAAGCTAGAGCTATATTGGTTCAATCTGGTTTACCACAACCACTGTTAGCCCAAATATGGTATGTACTCAAACACAGGAATAAAGTTAATACATTATGCTAAATCTGTCTATTGCAGGTCTTTCTATAGGCTTGAAATGTTATATAAATAATCAACTCTCAATGTCATTGCTAGCCTGCGATATTTACTGGATTAGAATCCGAACTGCTGCTCAACGTTTATTGATGATTAAATCAAAAAATAGATACATTGTAATTAAGACTATGTTATTTTATCGTATTGACTTTAGTAATGATGATCAAGACTAGGCCTAAAATTCAATTAATAAATTGTCAGTTCAGAGTGGATCATTTTGAATGAAATTTTCAGCAAATTCCCTTTACATTATGTAGATTTTAACTATTATAGTGAGAACTGCCAACTCTTATCGAATCTCCCATAATGTATCTTTAATACAATCAAATTTGTAATCCTGATCCATCTCTGTATCTGTATCTTGTATGAAGTTAGCCAATGTGAAGAATTACATTATTTTATCAATATGGTTATTTTACAGGACGGGAGCCACGGTAGCTAAGTGGGTAAGACACTAGGGCTCTAGCCTGGAGGTTGCATGTCCGATCCCTGCAGTGGCCGAGAAAGTTCATTGTGATTTTAGGACGTGGACAGCTGTCTTGTCATTCGGATCAGTTCGGAGCAGAACAGTAGGACGTTAAACCCATTTCATTTCATTTGATTTATTTTACAGGACATTGTCTGATGTAGATAATGATGGTAAATTAACCTGTGATGAGTTCTGTATAGCTATGCATCTTTCGGATGTGGCAAGACTTGGTCGACCACTTCCACCCAGACTACCCCAAGAACTCTTTCCAGTCGGTATGAAACCACCGGCTGCTGGAGGGTTTGTGGCACCTGTTTCTGGTGTCAGTGCTCCTGGTGGACCTCCACCTCCCCAGAAAGATTCGTTTGGGGAACTTCTGGGTGGGTTTGGTATGCCCATGCCTGTTGCTGCACCAATTCAGCCACAAACTAATGGTGATGCCAAAGCTGAAGAAGAATTAAAAATGCCAGGTACGTTCAAATTAAGATTGTTGGGCAGTTGTCATTTTTGTTAAATTTATTAACAAAGGGATTACAGCAGTCGTTGATGTTTGTATTTTAGAGGAGAGCCGAAAAAAGCTCCGCTTAATTATCATGATATGTGCAATAATTTTATTCGATGTCTCATGAAATTTCATATTATTCTGTGGTAATTTAGACGGATGTTATTGATATTATTTGTACACTTCTTAAACTTACATTACGCAAGAGCTAAATCTGCCTATTGCAGGTCTTTCTTTAGGTCTGAAATGTTGTCTAAGTTATTAATTAGACATTAATTAGACATTAATTAACTTATCCAGACCAAAATCAACTCTCGATGTCATCTTATGTGTCAGATTTTCATTGGATTTGAATCTGATCTGCTGCTCAATGCTCATTGATGATTAAATCCAAAAATGGATAATTGAGACTATGTTTTTTATTGTACCGACTTTAGTAATGATGACCGAGGATAGGCCGAAAAATCAATAGCTAATATCTCAGTTCGGAGTGAAGCAATTTGACTGAAATTTTCAGCATATTCCCTTTACATTATCTAGTTTTTAACTATTATAGTGAGAACTGCCACCTCTTTTATCTGATCCTCCATAATGTAACTCATTATCTAATCTTCCATAATGTAACTCTTTATCTAATCTCCCATAATGTGTCTTTAAGTAATGAGGAAGAAAAACTTACTATTGCAGTAACATTTGAAGATAAAAGAAAAGATAATTTTGATCGAGGTCAAGCTGAATTAGAAAAACGTCGTCAGATGCTTCAAGAACAGTTGAAAAGAGAGGAAGCCGAGAGACAGGAAAAGGAAAGAAAGGAACAAGAAAAACGTGAACGTTTTAGACGAGAGCAAGAAGAGAAGAGAATGAGAGAGTTAGAGAGACAGATGGAAAGACAACGACAAATAGAACAAGAGAAAGAGGAACAGAGAAGAAAAATAATGGAACAAAGAGAGGTGAATATTGCATGTACTATGAGTCCTGTTATAGTTCTGACAGTGAGATTTGTGCTGGCTCACTAACCTGGGAGAGAGAGAGAGAAATGGGGTTTAACATCCACTCCACACAAACTAGGTCATTTCGGGACTAGGACCTGGAGGAAACCCGCAAGGTTGGACAGATGACCCTACTCCTTGTCACGTACAACTGGGGATTCGAAACCTCACTAACCTGGAGGTTCCGAGGTACGATCCTGGTGTTAGCCAAGAAAGTTCTTCAGGATTTTATGGTCTGGTTTCTCATTATCTGTAGCATTGGATTAAGAATGAGCGAGAACGAGAGAGATGGGGTTTAATGTTCGCTCGACGCAAACTAGACCATTTCGGGACTTACATATGGTTCAATTTTATTTCATTAATTCGCTTCCTTTAGCAGTGGAAGGAACCGGAGAACACAGTGAAAACCCACGAGGTTGGACGTGCGACCCTACTTGTCACGTATAAGCGGGGAATATAAACCATACCACTTAATTCAATGACAAATCTTACGAGACAACGCACACACGTTAACCCCCCTAGATTGAGGATGAAAAACGGAGGTCGGTCTGTGTACTCACTATTGTGCAACTAAAAGTACCTGTTGTAATTTGTTGAAAAAGTAGGCAGGAACACTTCTATCTGGACAAAACTTTCCTAATAGCACACTTAAATGTAGAAACCCCTATTTCATTTTGTATCAAATATTAATTATTTTAATTTTAAAATTTTAGTCTGCTAGAAGAGAATTGGAAAGGCAAAGACAGATGGAATGGGAAAGACAAAGAAAAGAACAGTTATTATCTGAAAAACAGAGGGAATATGAACAATTAGCCAATTTAAAACTTCAAGATAGTCATTTGAAAAATGAACTAGAAGCTTTGGTAAGTTGTCACTTCACAGAACTGCTGAAGAGATTCATATTACAGTCATTTCCAATCTGATTAAAATACAGATCTATATTTTGTTTCGTTTTTTTTATACTTTCGATGGCCTACACTACATGACAACCTGACCGGTTGTAGTGGAAGGTCGCTTCATGGTTCATACATGGGTCTTTTAACCCTATGACATCAGACCAATTGATCAGGGTTGACGTTTCTAATGGTTTACCCAAATTTCTGCACACAGTTCGTCAAGAACTCGCTGTAACAGACCGTTTCATTGGCTAAACCCTCACATTAACCAGATTAGTCAAATAACAAATCTTCCAGATCCTAGTGTAGTAGAGACAAGTAAAACAAAATTTTGAACTATAAAAATGAAATGAAATAGGATCTGTGTTTTAATCAGATTGAGTCATTTCATTCATTTAGAATTTTAGCATTCAGTTCTGTCAGTTGTAGAAATTTATCTCAAAATGTAACTGTAATCATTACTTTGCACTATTAAAAAGTGTCACGCTCTTAAAGAGGGAGTTGGATGGGCGAATAGTTTGTGTGTGCGCGTTTTATCATAAGACCTGTCATTGAGTCAACTGGAGTGATTTCGATTCCCTGGTTGTACGTGACAAGGAGTAGGGTTGCCTGTCTAACCTCATGGGTTTTCTACAGGTCCTCCGGTTTCCTACCACTGCTAAAGACCCCTGTGCTCAAGCGAATTATTAAAATGAAATTGAACCATATTTTAGTCCCAAAATGACCTGGTTTGTGTCGAGTGGACACTCTCTCTCTCTCTCTCTCTCTCTCTCTCTCCAATTGAAATATAATGGATAATAATGTATATTTAGGATGGTAAAAAGACTGAAATATCTATAAAAATTAGTCAAGTAAGAAATGGTATAACAGACTTTACTACAAATATAGAAAATATGAGAGTTAGTAGAGATATGAAGATGTCTGAAATTGACAGATTAAATGCTGAATCACAGGTATATATTTGTATTAAATTATATCACAACATGTTTATATGATATATTATGAATAATATTGTGTACATATAGACATATATAAGCTTATACTGTTGATGTATTAGCAATATGTATAGTATACATGATCTTTTTTCATGTAAACTAAATGACATTGATGGCAGAATTTGAAGTTTATCACCCAATAAACAACAGTTGTTGTCAAAAATATATTAATAAATAAGTGAGGTGCACTAGTTAATACATGAATTTAATGACACATGAAGTCACATGTATATCTCAAAAGTCCAATATATGTACTACATTAATGTAAAGTTTGATGACATTTATTTAAGCACATCAGAGTATGAAATAAACCACTGATATAGCAGAGTTATTATTACTTTTATTGTCAAAGATACATAAAGCTGGCAATGGAAAATAAATAGAAACCAATGCAGATTTAAATGGCCATAACTCGGTTAGAATTGACCAATGTCAATAATTTTTGAAGCTAATGTATGGTAATCTGTTTAACTGTTGTTTTTTTTTTTTATAGCAATTGTCCCAGAGATTAACCGGTTTATCACACACTAAAGATCAGTTGAATATGCAGGTTCAAAGTACACAGGCTACACCATTGTGTAAGTATAAGATATTTGATTTATTCATAAATATACATAGTACTGTGAGCTAGAAATAGTCACCTTATCTTCTCCTTGAGTATTTGGGGGATTGGAAGGCCAAATGGTTAGTACGTGCCCGCTGTATCATAAGGCCTGTCATTGAGTCAACTGGCGTGGTTTCGAATCGCCGGTTGTACCTGACAAGTAGTAGGGTCGCCTGTCCATCCTCGTGGGTTTTCTCCAGGTCTTCCGGTTTCCTCCCACTGCTAAAGACCCTTACGCGCAAGCGAATTATTGAAATAAAATTGAACTGTGTGTTAGTCCCGAAATGACCCAGTTTGTGTCGAGTGGACGTTAAACCCAATTTCTCTCTCTCTCATCAAGTGGTCTATTTAAGCTTGCAAAATTAAACAGCAATGCTGTGTTGTCTACAGGTGGAAATGCTTATTAAAACTATACAGGCTATAATTAACTTATTCAAGATTATGAGGTTTCCCCCCTTGTCGCTGGTGCAGGACAGCTGTCTAGTGGTTTGGATGGGACAAAAAACCAAGGACCCATGTATACATTGACGTGCACGTTAAAGATCCCTTGGTAGTTGGAATTTGAGTAGTAGGTCATAGTGCCGCTGCCTGGACAAAATTTCCCTCATAGCACACTGTATGGCATATACCCGTCTTCATTAGCCTAGTCGGAGCAGAACAGTAGGACACTAAACCCCATTTCATTTTCAAGATTATAAACAATGAAATTATGATAAAGTCATTCAAGCACAGTAGCTGTGTAGATGTTTGTGATATTTCCAAAGTTGTAATAACGATGTAATTTATTGAATGGATAGCGCAAGCGCGCTGCATCATAAGGTCTGTCATTGAGTCAACTGGCGTGGTTTCAATTGCCTGGTTGTACTTGACAAGGAGTAGGGTTACCTGTCCAACCTTGTGGGTTTTCTCCGGGTCTTCAGATTTCCTCCCATTGCTAAAGACATTTACGCGCAATCAGATTTTGAAATAAAATTGAACCATATGTTAGTCCCGAAATGACCTAGTTTGTGTCAAGTGACTTGTGGATAAATCTGTATGTCACTTTTAATAACTACGGATATCTTTTTGTAGCTGACACCCATCGCACAGTAATGCATAGTGTAGAACAGAAGAAAACTAATGTACAAAAAATGAAGAAAGAGTTAGAACAGATAGAAAAAGATACAGAAACCAGGCTCACGGAAATAGACCAGTTTAATATAGATTTAAAGGTAAGGTTACTTGGATTTGAAATAATGAGTTATTAATCACCAATTGATTTTAAACATCTCATCCTGTATACATACCCAAACACCCCCTAGTTGTCTTTTCAACTAAAACTCTTATTTGGGAAACTAAACATCAGAAATATAAAAATAAAGAATTTTTTTTCTAGATGTTTCATTCCTTATTTCATCATAGGCATTATGATAAACCATTAAAAGTTTAAATCAATTTATTTTTGTATACTTTCTTGTACTATATTTGTTCTTTGTCACTTTTATCATGTACGAGTCTTAATAAATATTTCTAGTCATTTCCATTACTCAAAGGGAGTCGCGGTGGCTCAGTGGTTGGAGGCTGGCTCAATAACAAGGAGAGCCATGGGGTTAGGGTTAGACACTGGTGTTTGCCAAGACAATTTGCACTGATTTTCCCGAATGGTTTACCTTTGTTAGTGGTGCAGGACTAGGCGTTCAGATGTGAAAAAAAAAAACTGAGGTCATGTGTACATGTAAAAAAACCCTTTGGCATCTGGAATTCGCAATAAGAGTATGCTGTAGCGTCAATATCTGGGCAAAATTTCATCCCTCATAGCACACTGAATGACGTAAGCTCATCTCCATTTACCCAGTAGGTGCTGAAAAGTAGAACGTTATACCCCATTTCATTTCCATTAATATAATTTGTATAATCTGACAGAAATCCAATGAACTGATACACCAGCTACAAAGAGAACTACCACAACTGCAAGCTCAACAAAAACTCAGACAAGAAGAACAGAGTGTTTTAAGGAAAGAACAAGAAATACAAGATAAAGAACTGCAGCGGCTTGAAAAAGAAAGACAAGAAGAAAAATTAAGGAAAGCAGCAGAAGCTCAAAGGAATAGGTAGGTTTTATTTTTATGTTGATGTGCTTTAAAATGGAATCACTGTTGCAGAATGGAATGTATTGAACATACATTATGCAAGAGCTAAATCTGCCTATTGTATGTCTTTATTTAAGCCTGAAATGTTATATAAACTATTAATTAGACATTAATTAACTTATCCAGACCATAATCAACTCTTGATGGCATCAGATAGTCAAGATTTTAACTATATTATAACGATTCGCCATTTAAAAATTTAATTTAGAATTGGGAAAGCGAGGCTAAGTCTCGAATATACCAGTGCTCTAGTTACCACATTGCACACATCTTGTGAAATCTACAGTGATAACTTGGCTCAGAATGAAGTAATTTCAATGAAATTTTCATTTTACATAATCTATTTTTATGCTATTATAGCAAGAATGGTCAGCTCTTTATCTAAATCTTACATAATGTATCTTTTACACTGTTTAATTGAATTAATTAATGTAGTGCATGAATTGTACTGTTAAAGTTATTTAACATCATTCAAACGTAAGGCCCCAGATAACTTATATAAAAATACAGAAGTTACTGTCAAAGACTCTATGGTGTGAGCCAATCTCTTAATATCCAAACTTAAAAGTAATTTTGATTTTGTATATAAGATATTTATACGTATTATATTACTTAAATTAATTGTGATGTATATAATTATGATATTTATAGCGTATGAAATTACTTAATTCTGATGTTGTATGTAGTTATGATATTTATAGCGTATGAAATTACTTAATTCTGATGTTGTATGTAGTTATGATATTTATAGCGTATGGAATTTTATAATTATCAGATTAAATTATGTATTGAAATTATTATTGCAGGGAAGAAACTATAACAAAACAAGCTGGTAAGATTTCATTTTTTTGTATAGTCTCCTAATTTGAACAGGGAAATATATAGATCAGCTTTAGCGTAGATTTGGGGAGGAAAGATTTCAACATCTTAAGTGGAAACCTTCTGTTCATATTTTAACATTTAAACCATGTGAATGTGACCCAAGACAGAGATTGATTGGCATTTTAAAACTATGTTGGATTTTTTAAAAAAATTGTTTGACAGAATTTGTTGACATTAATATAGATGATATTACTGCTCGTGGCATATTAGGTGGTCCGACAAGCCTTGTCCATGTTTTTAGATTTACTAAACTATTGGATACTTTCATATAAACTGTCTATTTCTATAGAACCAGCCAAGGATGATAATTGGTTTGATTTTAATTCTGCTCAACCAGCAGCATCTGGTCAAGATAACTGGGCAACAGCCTTCTCTAATTCTACTGCCACATCTAATGCAGATTCTGCATGGGCTGCAGATGCCTTCTCTAGTCAATCAACAGCAGGTACTATATTATATTTGTTGTCTTTTTTTTAAATAGAAGATTAGTCAAACTTTTAAATCATGTCTTCAGTTTTGTCACATAATTGAGAAAATGACAGTTCCACAGGTTTTGTTTTGACATGTTTTTAAAATTGTAGGAGGGATGGGTGGCCAAATGGTTAGCGTGGATGTGTTGTATCATAAGGTCTGTCATTGAGTCGACAGGCGTGGTTTCATTTCCCTGGTTGTATGTGACAAGGAGTAGGGTCATCTGTCCAACCTCGTTAATTTTCTCCGGGTCCTCGGGTTTCCTCCCACTGCTAAAGATCCCTACGTGCATGCAAATTATTTAAATAAAATTGAACCATATGATAGTCCAAAAATGACGTAGGTTGTGTCCCTAAAGACTCCTATGCACAAGCATTGTATAAATAGTGGAATGATTATTGTTGTGTTTCAGCTGTATCTAAATATAGAGTATTATATGATTTTGATGCACGTGGTGATGATGAGTTAAATTTAACGGCAAATGAAACGGTTATGGTAAGTTTGAACTAGTTTTCAGTGAACTCCATAACACAATATTTGAATTATTTTCTGATTTATTGCGATTTTTGTTGCCCAGTATCTTCACTATATATTTTGATGGACTAGTACATATCCGAAACACAATGGTTAAAACATCATTGTTGTCATAATCTGATGTTGTTACATTAAGAATAGTAAGATTAAAGTGTATCTTTCAAATGAGATTTGCAATCATCTATTTATGACAGTGGTTCGTTTTCATTGCGTTTCAGCATATAACCTTCAAAGACACTTGTTACCTCATTTAGTTATGGTGTTAACTGTGTTATGGCCTGACAAGGACAGCTGTTGATTCGTTCGGATGTGACGAAAATCTGAGGTCTCATGTACACATTAGCGTGCTCGTAAATGATGCCTTGACAGTTGGACGCCGTAGTGTACGCCGTAGTGCCGCTGTCCTGGCAAAATTTCTCAAATACACACTGCACGGCGTATACCCGTCTTCATTAGCCCTGTCGAACGTCAAACCCAATTTCATTTCATTTCGTTAACTGTTTTAAATCAATGTATTGTAGGTAGCTGATGAGCAAGGCCAGCCTGTAGCTGGTATGGAAGAATGGTTTAAAGGTGAAAAAGATGGTAAAGTGGGATGGTTCCCTAAAGCCTATGTGGAAAAAGTTGAAGAAGCAGTTGTTGCATCTAAAAATTTTGGGTAAAATGCCTCCTCTTTTTTTAAACTGCTTTAATAATAAATGTCGTTTTGATCTCTGTTTTAATGGGTGTTACAAATTAAAGTGTTTAAACATGAAAATTTTTATTTAAACATGCATTATGCAAGAGCTAAATCTGCCTATTGCAGGTCTTTCTGTAGGCCTGAAATGTTATATAAACTTAATTAGACATTTATTAACATGAAAAGACCTTAATCAACTCTCGATGGCATCTTATGTGTAGGATTTTCATTGGATTTGAATCCGTTCTGCTGCTCAGCACTCATTCATGATTAAATCCAAAAATGGATAACAGAGACTATGTTGTTATCGTACCAACTTTAGTTTAGTAATGATGATTGAGTTTAGGCACAAATTTCAATCTCTTGTAATTATGTTCAGAGTGGAGCAATTTGACTGAAATTATCAGCATATCCCCTTTATATTATCCCCTCTTTAAGAAAAAATAGTGATAACATTTGTTTTTTGGGGTTTTTTTTTTTTACAATCTTTTGATTTAGTTAGATATAAAAAAAAGTTTAATATATACCTGTGTGTATATGCAGATATTATAATCAAGTAGTTAGAGAAGGAATCGTATTTAGAAACGGTTTGTAAATAAAATGTTTTATTGTCTTTTAGAAGTGTATTTGAAAATCCTGTTGTAGAAAATCAGAGTAATAATACAGGTGTAGGTCTACCTACATCTTTAGATTCATCATTTACAGCTGTATCTCCTACACCTGGTCAGGTATTTATCTTCATTTATTTTAGTACACTGCCACAATTTTTACCAAGTTTTAGTTCATTACGTACATGTAGGGGATGCTCGATTCACAGTCCAGAACGTCCCAAATTGACAGAATTGCAATCAAGTGACGCAGAATTCAGTCCTGTCACAGTTCTGTCAGTCCCGACTATGGAGTTGGATGGCCGAATGGTTAGTGTGTGCGCGCTGTATCAAATAGTCTGTCATTGAGTCAACTGGTGTGGTTTCAATTCCCCAGTTGTATGTGGCAAGGAGTAGGGTCGTCTCTTCAACATCGTGGGTTTTCTCCAGTTCCTCTGGTTTCCTCCCTCTGCTAAAGACCCCTATACACTATCGAAATATTGAAATAAAATAGGACCATATGTTAGTTCCGAAATGACCTAGTTTGTGTAGAGTGGACATTAAACCCCATTTCTCTCTCTCTCTCTCTTTCTCTCTTTCTCTCTCTTTCTCTCTCTCTCTCTCTCTTTCTCTCTTTCTCTCTCTCTTTCTCTCTCTCTCTCTGCTCAGGTTAAAGGGTATGATAAACTATTTGATAGCTAGATGTTTTATAAAGATATAAACATACAATTAATGGTTGTCATCTATATATTTTGAGATACAGGCGAGGTGGGGCATATCATTGCCTTGCAGCTCAAATTTAAACATTGTATTAATTAATTAATTCCCCACTATACTGACTATTTTTGATATCTGTAGTATTACACCGTTAGAATTGTGAAAAGTTTTGGTAACAAAAATTAGCATGACAGTCTTTGTGATCAAGAAATATATAATTATTTGCTTTTGTTGTAGGGTCAGATAGCACCAGAAGGTTTAACAGCTAAAGCTACATATCCATGGAAAGCTAGACAAGAGAATCATCTTACCTTTAATAAAGATGATACCATTATAGTTAAAGAACAGCAAGATATGTGGTGGTTAGGTGAATTAAATGGCAAGGTTAGTTTACGGATCCAAAATCTAAAGCCTGAATGTGAAGAAGACAAATTTGTTGATCGAACTAATAACATTTTAAATGAAATGAAATGAAATGTGGTTTAACGTCCTACTGTTCTGCTCCGAATTGAGCTAATGAAGACGGACATACGCATACATTGTGCTATGAGGGAAATTTTTTCCTGGACAGCGGCCATAAATCTAACTGTCAAGGTATTTTTTACATGCACGCCAATTTGTGCACTGGACCTTGTTTTTTTTTATCCCATCCGAACGACTAGACAGCTGTCATTGTTGGGCCCTATCTCCTGCATCACTGACATGGGGAAACCACGTCGTAAAATCTGGATGAACTTTCTCAGCCAATGTAGGGATCGAACACCGGACCTCCAGGCTAAATAACATTTTAAAACTTATAAAGTAACATAATATTGGGCATAGATAGGCATGTGACAAGTAACGCAGGCGCAATCTCCATCAAATTCTGAGGTCAATCTGTTACATGTTAAAGCATTTGTTTTTTTGAATCTTGGTTGACCTTTACCCAGATGTATAATGCATTTTTCTGGTCTTTATCTTTTCAGACGGGTTGGTTTCCAAAAGCTTATGTAAAATTAGTAAGTGTTGGTGGAGCTAAAGAAAGGTTAGTTAAGTCTTTGTGAATTGATAACATATTATGAATAACAAAGTTAGAAAGTTTCAATCAGATAAATGAAATGAATTGGGGTTTAACGTCCCACTGTTTTGCTCCAACTGGGCTAATGAAGTCGGGCATATGCCATACAGTGTGCAATGAGGGAAATTTTGCCCGGGCAGCGACATTATGTCCTACTCTTACATCAAATTCTAACTGCCAAGGGAGCTTTTACGCAAATCTATACACAGGGACCCATTTTTTTCGTTCCATCTGAATGACTAGACAGCTGCTCTTGTCGGGCCCTCTATTCTGCACCACTGACAAGGGGAAACCATGTTTGAGATTTCAATCAGTGTCTTTACTGTCAACTTAAAAGCCATTAGGAACTGTTATATCTGTAGCCAGAAATCTGATGGTAGTTGCTGAGAAATGTTTTATTTTAAATTCTAGTGAGTGGCCTATTAAAAACATTAATAAGCTAACTATTTTTAATTTCAGTACTATTACACCTGTACCTAATTTAACATTTGATACTCCTGATAGTACGAGTAATTCACCTGCACCAGATAAAAGAGATGGAGGTAAGTATAAACATGTATAATATACATACACTGTAAACCGGGTATCATTTAATTTTGTGTATTTAGCACTAATTTCTTTCATATTCATTCAATATCCAATCAATATCAAACATGTATACTATACATGCACTGTAAACCAGGTATCATTTAATCTTGTGTATTTAGCACTAATTTCTTCCACATTCATTCAATATCCAAT